GACCTGTACCCCTGGGGATAAAAATATATGTTTATTTTTTTTAAAAAGTAAATTTAAAGATAGTAGATTTTACTGTATGTAAATTACACTTTTTTTTTTTTTTTTTAAGAGTTGGGAAAGACTTCCTAGGGAATTTCTGCTTCAGCTGCAATATGAAAGGCGAGCTTGGAGTCTCAGAGATAAAGGTGGTAGGAAAAAGGCATTGCAGGCAGAGGAAGTGGTGGGCAAGCTCATGGCAATGCCTGAGAATGGAAGACCAGTCCAGCGGGAGCAGAGGATGTGGGGCTAGTAGGGAGCTGAGGCATGAAGCAAGGGGACAACTTGCAAGACAGGCCGTGAGGTTGCTGTGGCAGTGTTGTTGGCACCCCAAGAGCCGGAGGGAGCCATTGCAGATTGTGTGTGTTAGCAAAGTCATCATCTGGCTGGTACGGACGAGGCTGGATGTGTACAGATAAGCCACTTAGAGACTATTACAGATGTTGAGGGAAGGGAAGGCCGGACATCCTGGGGAAGTGGCTTTAGAGAAAAATGGAAAGATTTCAGGTGATAAGGTAACAGTATTTATTGATTTTTCTTGGAATACGTGGGTGAGGAAGAATGGAAGTGGCAAGAATGGTTTCTAGATTTTAGATTTCTAGATAACTGGAGGGACTATGGAGCCATCCAGTAAGACAGCAATACTGGAAAATAGAGTCATGGTAGAGAGATTCAATCCATTCATTGAATAAATGTTTATTGAACTCCTGTTCTCTGCCTTGCTGTATTATAGGCATGGGGGCACAGTCCAAATCAAGCCAAATCCTTGAAATTATGGAGCTTATATTCTAGTTTAGAGACATACAAAAAGTAAGTGAAACATTTAGTGTGTCCGATGGCCTAGAACAATGCCTCACCCCTTGTAGACACTCCATGTGTATCATGGAGAAAATGTCGGGGCAGGTGAAGAGAGAGGCAGGTAATGGGGATGGAGTTATCAATATAGATGTAGTGAATAGGAAAAACATCAGTGAGAAAATGCCATTTAAGCAAAAACCTAAAAGAAGTGAGGTAGTGGTCAAGAGATGAGATGGGGGTCTAGGCAGTGAGGACAGCAGGTTCGAAAGTGTGAGGCTGGAAGAGTGTGAAGAAGAGGGCAAGTCGAGAAGGGGGGGCAGGTGGCTTGGGGTCCCGGATCACAGATGGCCTTTCAGATCTTTATATGTTATTTGTGAAAGTCTGGTTGGGGCCACACTCCACGTGAGGTAATGTGGGACATCCAGCAGATGGGAGTCAGCAATTTGACGCATGGACCCGGAACTCCAAGGAACATTCCAGACTGGATGTAAAATTGGTGGGTTGTTCGCGTGTGGAGGAGAGAGCTCAGGGAGAGAGAATGGAGCACAAGGAGGAGAGGGTCTGGGAAGGAGCCTTGCAGTAGCTTCTAGACTGAGATTGGTGGTTAGTGTCTCTAGTCCTGATAGGGCAGTGGTGGCTGCTGTGCATGTGTGGGTGACTGTGGTGTCCTGCAAAATAGGGGACGTGAGCTGGAGACGGCACTGGTTTGTGCAAAGGTTAGACTTTCAAGTTGAAAAGGGGGGGACTCCTCCATCATCAGCTATAGGATTTTCATGACCTGAGCGGAAGGCAGAGGCTTTAACCCACTGAGCCACCCAGGTGCCCCCAGCTATAGGATTTTGACCAAATTACGTAACCTCCAAGTTGTCTGATGTGTGAGTTAGAGAAATACCACCCACATCCCAGGGCCGCTTCGGAATTAAATAAATAGCATGGAGGAGCGCTCCGTAAACTGTAAAGTGGCGTGTGGATGTTAGGTATTGTCACTCTGTGCTGGAAAATATAAAAGCCATGGTGTAACCTCCGTGCCCTTCTGTGTTATGGGCCATTTCCCCAGACTCAGAATATCCAGACTCGTGTCGTCCTCTTCCTTCCTTGCCCCAGCCAGGCCTCCCTCCCTCCCCGTTTCTGTCAGTGGCACCGCTGCTCCTCCTGCTCCGGGCCAGCAAGCTCAGAATCCTTGGTAATTCTCCCCCATCTTCTTTGCCCTCTGCCAGACACCAGGGTGAGACACCAAAAGCTTCTCCTCCTCCCGTTCAATCCTGCTTGGGATTCCTATGGTTCAACACACACCCTACTTTGCGCTGAGGTTGTCTACACTCGTGGTTCTGTCATGTCACTCCCTCCTTCCAGAACCTCCAGTGGATTCCCCAGGCTTTGGGAACTGGTACCTGCCTTTCAGCGTTTGGGCTCATCCTAGCTTATCTTCTACTTCAGTTCCATACTTTCTGCCCTGTGGCCCTGTCCTTCCTTTCGCTCTGCTGGTTGCCCTCCCCTTCTCTTTTCCTCTCCTTACCGTGTCCATTACCTGGCCGCAGCCAATGCCACATTTCCTGGAAGCCCCTCTTTCAGTCTGTGCTAGCCTGTGCAGACCTTGTATGTGTCTGCTTCCGTTCCCATTGTTGTCCACATCCTACGATTAGTGCTGCCTTACCCTCTGCTTCCTTACCGGCCACAGCTTTGCCCGAATGATGGAAATGCATAAAGATATTAATCTTTCCCAGCTTGGAAAAATCTCACCATATATTCCAGAAGACCTGGCAGTTTTTCCTGCCACCGGTGTTTATCCTAGAAGGTCTATTGCCTTCCTGTTAACTATCATACTTTCTTGTTTTCTGTTTCTGCCCACCAGAAGGTGAGTTTTGTGAGAGCAGGTTCATCGTTATATCCCTAGTGCCTTAGCATTATCTCCTGTTTGTCCAATATGTATTTGCTAGAGGAATGGACAGGTGATTTTAAAAAACATTTTCCAGGACAATATGGGCCCAAGGTTTAGTTAAAAAGTGGATCCTGTGGGGCACCTGGGTGGCTCCGTGGGTTAAAGCCTCTGCCTTTGGCTCAGGTCACGATCCCGGGATCTTGGGATCGAGCCCCGCATCGGGCTCTCTGCTCAGCGGGGACCCTGCTTCCCTCTCTCTCTCTGCCTGCCTCTCTGCCTACTTGTGATCTCTCTGTCTGTCAAAAAAAAAAAAAAAAAAAGTGGATCCTGTATGGGCTGCTGATGCGGAGTCTCATCTGAGTGATCATCAGATGAGCAGGAACCTTTGAAGCATGGCTACGTTTGAATTTCTGGGGGCAGCAGCACTATGAGTCAAAGTACTCCCATGCCTGGAGCCTAGGAAATTTCTTTCTTAAAAAAAAATCCAATTTCATTAATTTTAGTAAACAGAAAAGGAATGTAGATTAGAAGGGAGAGAATAGGACTCGGAGCAGTTGTGTTCTGTGAGCCTTTGACATTGCTGTCCGCAGGGATTTTCAGGATTGCTGAGGAACTGCTCTAAATTATTCCTGTTCCCTCTTAACGGAGAGTTGTTGTGTGGAGTCTCTTCCTAACTTTGCTGTTCTCCAAGTCAGCCCCAGTCCAACTGCTGGTCCACAACCAGATCATGAAAAGACGAGGGCTTGTCTTGCTACGAAAAAAATCAGCTAAATTCAGCGTTGTGCCTGGTCACATCGTGGGTCTACATTAGGGCACAAGCTCCTCTCCCTGTGGGTCGGTGCAGACCAATTACAGACCAGCGGTTCTCATGGGGCCATGCTCTGAGAAGGACTGCAGTGGCAGCCTTATGCCAGTGACTTATCTCCCCCAAGAAACCATGAGCTCTTGCCAGGTACAGTGGTTGTTGCTGGGCACATAGTAGGTGTTCAGTGAGAATTTCTGGCAGAATGCCCTTTGGCCAGGGAGGGCTGTAGTGTCCTCAGCACAAGGATCCCCAGTCGCCCCTTCACTCTTCATATGTCATCAGTCTCCTTGCTGTCTCTGACCTGCAGAACAAAATCTTCATCTACCGGGGGAAGGAGTATGAGAGGCGAGAAGACTTCAGCCTGAGGTTGCTGACCCAGTTCCCCAATGCTGAGAAGATGACCAGCACCACGCCCCCGGGAGAAGACATCAAGTCGTCCCCAAAGCAGTGTATCCTCACCTTGGAGAGACGTGGCCCGGCCCAGCCACAGAAGCTGAGGATTCAGTCCTGTCTCTTCATGCGGATATGCCCTGCCCTCTGACCACTCACGTAACCTTCTGACTCAGTTTCCCATTCTGTGTAAAAGCTTTGGGACCCTGATGTCCTTAGCTTATGGTTATGAAGTAAAGGAGAGAGATAATAAGCAAATCTTGAATATGAAAGGATATGTTTTATAGCTGTATGGGGAGCTTGAGAAGGACTGTTCAGGATTCTGGATTCTGGAGAAAGATGTATAGCTTTTCTTTTATAACATTCAGTGACTTGCTGAATAACATTGAGTGACTTACTGAAAAATTAATTACATGCTCTCTTAGAAAAAAAGAACAAACACTAAGAGCTCTATAACAAAATTATCTTTAAAACTTTTTTCATGTGTTTTGTGCTAAAATAAAGATACTCCAACACTGAACACTATTCGAGGAGATGTAGATAAGCCAGAGCTGGTGTGACAGGGTAGATAAGAGAGCAGGCTCTGGAGCCAAGGTGCCTGGGTTCAAGTCTCAGCTCTGTCACTTACTTTGTCCCTTTGAGCAAGTTCCTTAATTTCTCTGTGCCTCAGTTTTCCCATCTGTAAAATGGGGATGATGATCATCCTTTCTCACAAGAACTCTTACAAGAGTTCTTGTAAAGATTGAGTAAACATTTGTCAAATATTAGGAACAGTGCCTGGTACATAATAAAAATTCAATATATATTGGCCATTACTATACATACAGGTTGGTAAGTAACTATAGAAAGGTTGACAATAATAATAACAGACCTATAAACAGGCACACCTTTAAGAGAAGAGCAGCCTGTTAATACAGAGCAGATGCTTGAGAAGGAATGGTCTTCCAGGATAAATCCTTGTTTGGGTTATGTGGGTTCAGAAGACAGTGGAGGTGCCTTCGTGGTGCGGGAATGACTAGGTCTTCAAGAACTAGATTTAGGATTTCCTGTTGCTGGGCCCTCAGTCCTTTCTGCCTGCCCTCTTGGCCTTTCCCAAACGGCTTCTCTCCTCCAGGCCCTTGGTTTCTCATCCATGAGATGTGAGTCTCTTTTCCCCAAATACCCAGTAGCATTTCTGGGAGGCTCAAAGTCGAAAGGAGGTCATTTCTATGAAAACGCTCTGTCAGCTAGACCAGGTAACGCACACAGCCCGGTGGTCCTCAGATTTTGTTATAGGTGAGACTCACCACGGAGAGATTCTCATTCAGCCGTTGGGAGTTCTTATTGTGCGTCCTGTGAGTGTCCATGTGGTTCTGGTGCCCGGGGCCACACACCACCCTAAGATGCTGGCAGTCACTGTTTTGTCCCCACCGAGGGCCTTCACCTCAACTTTAAATGCTCTAGATTTTGAAACAGTATATATGCACTGGCAAGGACAAAAAAAAGTAATTATTAAAATTATCGAGACAGTTCTTCCCCTGAGCTGGATTAGAAGCCTGACTTCACCATGGACAGTTGTGTGCTCTGGGTTTTCTCAGAACCTCAGAGTCTTCCTCTGTAGAAGGAGAGTCATAACATCGCCTGTTGGTTGTTGTGTTCATTACTGTGGGAACATGTTAAGAACCTCATTCCATGCCCAGATATGGCCCCCTATGGACAGGCGATGGCCGCAGACACCAGACGTTCCTACTGCACGGGCCCCGCAGTCGAGCTGTTTCACAGGCGTCCTTGTCCAAAAGAAATGACTTAAAATTGTTTTGAATCCCTCTTCCCCTGATAGTTTCCTTGCGGCAGGGTTGCTTGCCAGGGGTCTGACCAAAAAATGTCCTAGGATTATAACTTAATTAGGCATTTTCATAATACATCAGGGAATGCTGTTTTCAGTGCAGCGCTGGCACTCGGGGAAAAGGAGTGATTCAGTCAGGTATCATTTCCATCCTCAAAGCAGGAGGAATGGGTGGTGCTTTTTGCCTGGGACACCTTCATGGCCTGGCCTCTTGTCTGTCCTTAACGAGTTTCTCAGACATGCAGTGTTTCACTGTGAAGCCGGTGATGAGCCTGCCACCCAGCTATAAGGACAAACCAGTTCCGGAGCAGATCTTAAAGTAAGTAGGGTTTGGGGTTTTGTTTTGTTTTGTTTTGTTTTGTTTGCTGCTTTTAAAAAACATTTTCTTGGGGTGCCTTGGTGGCTTAGCGGGTTAAGCCGCTGCCTTCGGCTCAGGTTGTGATCTTGGGGTCCTGGAATCGAGTCCCGCGTCGGCCTCCTTGCTCGGCAGGGAGCCTGCTTTTCTTTCTGCCTCTCCCTGCCACTCTGCCTGCTTGTATGCATTCACTCACTCGCTCGCTCTCTCTCTGACAAATAAATGAAAATCTTTAAAAAACATTTTCTCTCTAACGTACTTTATCTAGAAGTATATCAAAACCCAAGCTTTGGGGCTCTTCGGTGGTTCAGTCAGTGAAGCATCCAACTCTGGATTTCAGCTCAGATCATGATCTCAGGGTCATGAGATCGAGCCCCACTAGCAGAAGTCACCTGATTCCCCTCTCCCACCTCCCAGCTCATGTCCACACTCTAAATAATAAATGAATGAATGAATACATGAATGAATGAATGAATAAAATCTTTAAAACCAAAGCCTTAAACTCATGTGGAAGACCTTCTGTTGTTTCAGCCCTTTGGGGTTGCTATAGCAGGACCCCACAGACTAGTTGGCTTAGAAACAACACATTTATTTCTCACAGTTCTGGAGGCCAGGGAAGTCCAAGGTCAGGTGGCAGCAGATCTGGTGTCTGGTGAGGACCTGGCTCCTGATTCACAGACACTTCTCACTGTGTCCTCACACACAGAAAGGGTGACAGAGCTCTCTGGGGTCTCTTTTATAAAGGCACTCATCCCATTCATGAGGGTCCCACCCTTGTGACCTCTGCACCTGCCACAGACACGACTTCCTGATCGCATCACACTGGGGGACGGGATTTCCACATTGGCATTCAGACCACAGTAGCCCTTTATTGTATTTTTAGTGTAAAATAAGAGCTTGGTGAATCAAAAGGGATTTGGGAGCTTTGTGGGTCTTTTTTAGGCAGACAGGGAAATCAGGAATTTCACTGTGAGACTTCAGAGCTCCTCGATCTTCCTTCTGCTCAGAAGCACTCACTGAGGAGTGGCTGACTTCACCTTGCCTGGTGGTGTGGGGTCCCCAGTGATTGAAGTCCTCATTTCTTTTTTCCCAAGAAGCTAAAATGCTAGTAGGATTGCTACAATTGTAATAAAAAAAAACCACACACATGAAATCACAAACATGGATATAAATACATAGATCTTTTTAGGTGGTGAGCTGTGGAATGGATTTATAAATAAGAAAGATCAGCAATAAAATCAAATCGTGCACCTCCTCCAGCCTTCTCTGTAGAGACAGTTCGGAGGTTGCTTAGTGGCTAAGACTCAGGCTGTGTAAGAGGTGGGCCAGGGTTTTATTGAAATCTGACCGAGGACTGCACGTTCTAAGAGACCAGCTACAGCACGGTGGCCATGTCTTTCTCCAGCTACTACAGAGCCAATGAAGTGCAGCAGTTCAGATATTCCAGGCCATTCCGGAAAGGAGAGAAGGATCCAGACAATGAATTTGCTGTGAGTCCACCCTCTTTGCCCTCTAAAACAAGGTAAAGTAGGCTTTCCAACTAACGAGTGCAGATCACAGAAACAATGGCAGCTGTAGGGATACAGGACAGAGGGGCTGCGCACTTCCTACCTGGAGAGCAGCAGGTCTCAGTGGAGAACTCGAGATTGGAGCCCCTCCCCTCAAGACTGGGCTTTGCTCTTGTGCTCCAGGGTTGCTGCTGGGCATCACGTGTCCCCTCTAGGAGGTGAGAGGGCCCAAGCAGATGATCCCTTGCAGTTTTAAACCTCCAGCATCCTCAAAATAACGGCCCATTTACCAAGGAAGCATTTGGAAATAGAATCTCCCTGACCTCCACCAGGGAGCATTGCCGTGTTGCCTGGGAACTGACATTTCCGATTTTCCTTCCTTCCACCAGACCATGTGGATCGAAAGGACCACGTATACAACTGCGTACACATTTCCTGGGATTCTCAAGTGGTTTGAAGTCAAACAAATTTCAACGGTGAGTCATTTGAAATGGGGACTCAGAAAATTCTTTGTGTCTCCAGATATAATAAGAGCCTTTGTTAAGCCCTCCTCCAGTTCTCACTAGCTTGGCCAGCCTCCTCTGGCCAATTTTGTTTTCCAAAAGAGAAATAAAAGCCATGCTTGTCTAATAGAACTCCTTTGTATAACTGATGTTACAACACCAACCCTAAAGGTTACTCACAGTCAATGACTCTTTTATGAGCAAATGAATCTCGTCTCCTCATGATCCTGCCAGTGCACCAAACCATTTTTGGAATGTCTCCTTTGAGTGTGCTGTCATTCAGATTCTCTCCCAGAATGTTTCCTCTTCTTTGATTCGTGGCTAATCACATAACTGGTCATCCCAGACAATTCCTTCTCCGTCCTTCCCCAAAGCTGCCTTTTTAATAGTTATTACTATTACTATTAAATAGTTTTTACTATTTACTATTTACTATTACTATTACTACTACTAAATAGTAATAGTTATTACTATTACTACTAAATAGTTTTACCTTTTTAATAGTTATTAAATCTGTTTTCTTTATTTCCAGATCTCCTATTACTGTACCCCATTTTAGTACCTCATTCATCTCTGGGGGATGCCATGGAAAAAGCCCCTTCATTGGCCTCCTGCCTTGGCCTTCACAGGCCGTTTTCCTCACAGTTCCACAGAGAGTTTCACAGTGGAAAACTGACCGTCTTCTTTTCATGCTTAGAACCTTGCCGTGGCTCCGCAGTACCCAGAGCATAAAGCCCCTGTTCCTTAGCAGGTTCATACAAAATCCTTGTGACTCAGCTCTGCCACCCCATTTCCTATAGAATCTTCTGGAACTAAACTCATTCAATGTTATTTCAACCCTCCATGACAGTGGGGCATTTTCTTTGCCCAAAATGCTACTTCTCAACCTAACTATCTCCCATAGAAATTCATTTTAGGTGCCAGCTTCACCTGGAAGCCGCGTCTGAAGCTCCCAAGGAGGGTTAGATGCCCTTTCCCTGTGCCCCGCCGCAACCTGGGCTTATTTCTAACAAGTTGGCCCCGTGCTTATGTGTCTTGAGACCCCACTATAAAACCGTAGGCTCCTCCCAACCACTAATTATATCCTAGTCACTTTTGTGACTGTGGAGCATAGCACAGTGCTTGGCAGGTAATACACTTTCAAGAAGTAGGTCTTGAACACATCTGAACTGAAATCTGATGTGTTCCATACCACTAGTAATAAGTTGTTACTTTTCAAGTATGAGTATGATTTTCTTAGAGACTTTTGGCATCAAGGCTGCAGTAGGCGGTCATGCTGGCTGGCAGTGGGTAAAATGAAGAAGGAGATTTTTCTTGAAACCTGGCTTTGAAGATGTTTCCACAGGAGTCGCTCTTTCTGAATCTGTATTGAATCTTCTTTCATTTTCATCCAAAATTCAACTTGAATATTCTAGTACATCCTCTTATTTCTGACTTCTTTGAACCGCAGAACCCATACAAAGGTGACTTATGTATGGTCTGAATGTATGGCTTCCAAAATCATTTCCCTTTTCTCATGGAAGAAGCATCAGGCCTCTTGCCAAGGAACATTCTGGATGCTGCAGCACTATCTGGGATCAGATAACCCGTTACTCTGCTGTCATTGAGCTAAAAAATCTCCGATGAAGCTCTGCCTAAAAATCATCATTACGACAGCTCCAATTTTTTTTTTTTTTTCAAAATTTCTAAAGACCCTTGGCACCAAGAAAGAATCACTGTGAGAGCTGTAATTTTGGGGTCACCCTTGTACTTCCTAAGGAGATTTTAAGTTGCTTATTTTGCAACTTAGCAAAACAATTTCCAGTACGTGTGGTATCCAAATAAATATAACCTTGACAAGCAAAACTTCACTCTTGTATAGCTTGGTGAGAATTTTATACCTTTTAAAAGAGAATGCTTATAATTTTCTTTCCGTCTTTCCTGTGAGCTCACAAAATATCCTTCCTTTTCCTTGTCCTCTGGCGCAGGAGGAAATCAGTCCCCTGGAGAATGCCATAGAAACCATGGAACTCACCAATGAGAAGATCAGCAACTGTGTTCAGCAGCATGCCTGGGACCGAGCCCTCTCTGTGCATCCCCTCTCCATGCTTCTCAGTGGCATCGTAGACCCGGCTGTCATGGGGGGCTACTCCAACTATGAAAAGGTGAATCCCGTGTGTCTCCATGCCTTGCCAGTGAATCCATTTCTTATAGCTTCTCTGAGACATTTTTTCACTCTGCCCCTTTACAAATGGACAAATGAAGTTAATGAAAAGCGTGTCCTTGACCTCATACCTCCTAGAGACCCTCAGCAGCCCAGACAGGGTCAGGTCACAGCCCGGTAAGGAGTCACTGAGAGATCAGTCTCGTATACCTCATCTGGTTGGTTTACCTGCTATTCCCTCTCCCACTCCCTCTCTCCCCTGAGAGGTAGAAAGCGTACAGGTGGGCCCAGAACTGAGGGTGCTCCGGAGGTGAAGAAGCATCTGGGAGAGGCCAAGCTGCACCCTAGTTAAAATGAGCTTCTAGAAACGCCCACCCCGACTTGGTGTGCTGTATGTTGTTTGGACAAACGCTGGCCCTGGCTGCACAGTGACATTAGTTCAACTAAGTGTCGTATCTTTTCTTCTGGAAAAACAGGAAAAGAGTGCTCACCAGATGCAAATCCATTGCTTAGGGTTTGGATGTAGCATCATTTAAAATGGAGGTAATGGGAGGGGGCACCTGGGTGGCTCAGCCAGTTAAGCATCTGCCTTCAGCTCAGGCCGTGATCCTCGTGTCCTGGGATAGAGCCCGACATCGGGTTCCCTGCTGAGCAGGGAGTGAGCTTTTCCCTCTCACTCACTCTCCCTCAGTGGTCTCCCTCCTTCTCTTTCTCTCTCTCTCTCTCTCTCAAATAAATAAGGTTTATTTAAAGGTTTTAGAAAAATTAAAAAAAAATGGAAGTAATGTATACAGTAGGTAAAATTCAGTTAAGTGCAATTAATTGAGGCAGGAGTTTTAATTGTTCAGCTGTTTTCAGTGGCTAAGTAATTTCGGAGTCTTGCTGAATCTAAATAAACATTTGGCTACCGTACCCCTCTGGGGTAGCCTGGAGAGTGAGTGAAAGTGAAGGAGGTGGGCAGGAAGGGTGAGTGGACATTCAATGGGTCGATTCTCTTATTTCCATTTGTACACCAAGGCCTAAGAAGACCAGGGGCACTAGAATCAGCCACACCAGCGACCCATTCCTGGCTTCCCATTGGCCGCTGTGTGCCCTTGGGTGAGATACTTCACCTCTCTGAGCGCCAAGCTTCATGCTTGAAAAAAGTGAGGAAAGTACCTAACACAACAGTGGTGGCTAGTAGCTGAGGAAGGCGTTATTTGTGGAGGGGACACCACGGAAAGCTTGCCATTTAGCTGAGCCTTGCTGAGGATGGGTTTTCTTCTCCCTCCTGTCCTCTCGGAGCCAAACACAACTGAGCAGGGCACCCAGTGCTCTGTGACTGCTGCTGTAACCATCTTTCCCATCAACCATTGTACCTTCTTCAGGCTTATGACCCTTAGCACCTGGGCAAGGAGTCCACTGGAGGCCATGTGTAGTTTGCCCATGCCAGGTGTCAGTAATAATCTCCAGTGTCATCACAAAATTCAGTGCAAAACTAGGCTCCAGAATATAATACTTTTTTACATTGTAATAATTTTGTTGTGTGTTTTTTCATATAAGCTAAGCTATCTAGTACTAGTTTTCGTGTGTTTTTCCAAGTGTTTTTTTTTCTTTCTCTTTTTCTTTCTTTTTTCCTTTTTTTTTTTTAACAGAATACCCCTTAACTCGAATTCAGATATGTCAGTATCTGTGAATAGTATGTAATTTCATATGAAGGTTTCCCAATGTCATTGTCTTCTCAATGAAATTTTTTGAAAAGGGAAAGTAGGGTATGTAAACTAATAAATTTCAAGACCTTTAGCTTAAAATAGTAGTTTTTACTTTTTTTTTAAAGATTTTATTTATTTATTTGACAGAGATCACAAGTAGGCAGAGAGACAGGCAGAGAGAGGAGGAAGCAGGCTCCCTGCTGAGCAGAGAGCCTGATGTGGGGCTTGATCCCAGGACCCTGAGATCATGACCTGAGCCGAAGACAGAGGCTTTAACCCACTGAGCCACCCAGGCACCCCAGTAGTTTTTACTTTTAATTAACATGTATGAGTTTGTGCATTTCTAAACATAAGAGAAAGGTAAACTCATTGATCACCAATGTTCCCCAGTGCAATTAATTGGGGAATTCATCTTCACCTACCTATATTGGTGACCTGTCTTTAAATCATGGCCCACCTGGGTGGCTTAGTGGGTTAAAACCTCTGCCTTCGGCTCAGGTCATGATCCCAGGGTCCTGAATGGAGTCCTGCATCGGGCTCTCTGCTCAGCAGGGAGCCTGCTTCCCCACTCTCTCTCTGCCTGCCTCTCTGCCTACTTGTGATCTGTCTGTCAAATAAATAAATAAAATCTTTAAAAAATTAAAAAAATAAAAAATCATGGCCCAAGTGACAGGAGCCCAAGAACTGTTTGCTGTAATTCATCAGCCTCTTTCCGTTGCAAGGCAGGACCCTCCTAAAAAAATTGAATTTCAGAGCACTTGGCTCCTCTGTTTCTTGACTAAACCAATGTTTTGGGAATTTCAGTGCATTTTATTTTACATCAAAAACATTTTTTAACTTTTGAAGATTTAAACTGCTTATATTTGGAAGGTAAAGGCGGACGGAGGTTTACGCATAGGACTTTCTCCCTCATTTCTCTCTAACCCTGAATCTGGCCGAAGGAAGTGCTGTCCGGATGTGCTGTCCTGCTTCCTGTTTGTGAAACTCATCCCGCAGGCCTGCATGTATTTGTATCCCTCCTTGTGTTCGTTCCCTGGGGCTTCCAGAACAAAGGCACACACAGGGTGGCTGAAAACAGTGGAAATAGATTGCCTCACAGTCCCGGAGCCCAGACGCCTGAAATCCAGGAGTCAGCAGGGTCGATTTCCTCAGCAGGCTGTGAGGAAGGATCTGGTCCCGCCTCTCTCCCAGTTTCCTAGGGGTTGCTGGCAACCTTTGGTGCATATTCCTAGGCTTACAGACCATGTTCTCCTTGTTCTCCCCTTTCTATAAGGACTTCAAATATACTGAATCGGACACCTGGGTGGCTCAGTAGGTTAAACATCTGCCTTTGGCTCAGGTTGTGATTCCAGGTCCTGGGACTGAGCCCTGAGCCCTATGTTGGGCTCCCTGCTGAGCCTGCTTCTCCCTCTCCCTCTGCCCCGCCCCCCACTCACGCTCACTCCCTGGCTTTGAAATGAATAGATAAATCTTTAAAAAAATACATTTATAAAACATTTTCACATCAGTATCTCATGTTGTCCTCAAAAAGCCTTTTGGGTAAATGAGTAATAAGAAAGCCATCTTTACTTAATACAGGAAAACAATGTGATACAGCCTATAACAGATGATAAAGCAGGAAAACTGTTATCCATATACAGCCTGCTAATTTTTTGCTTTTTCCTTATTATAATATCTGTACACTTAATCTAATAAATATTCTTTAGCTACTGTCATTGGCCTTAGTCCTTTGGGAAAGTTACCTCACTGAATGGCATGAGTTAATTGGTTTGATGTGTGTGTGTGTGTGTGGTGGTTGTGGAGAAGGTACTGTCATTAGGCATTGCATGGTTCCAGAAAGACCACAGAATAGCACAGTCCTTTAGAATTGTTCACGGTGGCATAAGGGCTGTCCAGGAAAGGGGTGAGTATTCACTTAGTCGTTCCTGGTTTAGCAGAGGGAACGGAATACATTTTTCACCCTTTCAGGCTCCGCTCTCCTCCCTCGAGGGTCAGTACACATACAGGAACGTGTTCTAATTAACACTCACATGTGCTCCCCTTTTAGGCTTTTTTTACAGAAAAGTACTTGCAGGAGCATCCCGAAGACCAGGAGAAGATTGAGCTGCTAAAGCGACTGATAGCGCTGCAGGTAGGCGTCGTGGGAGGGGTGTGGCCCAACGCCAGCATATTCTCTAGGGCTTAAATCCACAAGACCACTTTTAGGGTGTTTTGTTCCGTTTTGTATCCTTTGGAATCACAGTCTGTCTCACTGTTTGGCCCAGGGACCCTGGGAATAGCGTTCTGTTAGACTCTACAGTGCCGAGAGAGACCTTCCTAGAGAAGAGACTTGAGTCCCCAAATCGGATCCAGCCGAGACATGTTGGCTTCAGTCCCTCTCTCTCTCTCTCTGTCTCTCTCTCTTGCTACTTCAGCGAACAGGGGGACAAAAGGCAGCCATCCAATTCAGCCTCAGCTTTAAAACTAGCAGCTGGTCAGCCACAGAGAAGCCTCCAGGCTCAGATCTTGGCTGGCAGCGCTTCCCCGGTTTAGGGCCTGCTTGCCTCCTGTGTATTTCTCTGTGTCCTTGACCCAAGGGCGTCCAGTGCCCCCGCCCCCCATGGAGAAGTAGCATTCTCACGTGGTATGTGCTGTGTCTGCCAGTTTACCTGTCTCCCCGCCCATGCTTCCCTAGTCTCCACATCTGAAGGATCCCTCTTCCTAAACCATATTTCCTTCCTGCCACGCCCTTTTCTCCAGATGCCTCTGCTGACCGAGGGGATCCGCATCCACGGGGAGAAGCTCACAGAGCAGCTAAAGCCGCTGCATGACCGCTTGTCTTCTTGTTTCCGGGAACTCAAGGAGAAAGTGGAGAAGCTCTACGGTGTTATAACCCTGGTAGGCTCTAAGTGGCCGGTTGGCTTTTTCGGTCTCTGACTATTTTTTATATTGAAGTTTTTCACGAGTCAGAATAACAGAGGCAGGGCATGGAAATGCTGGGGGAGGGGAGGAGAGGACATGGCATGCTTTCGGTGACCTTCCGACACTGACATGCTGCATAGGGGTTCTTAGACTTGAGTGACTATACGAACCATCTGGAAGGTTTGTGAAAACACGGATTGCTGGGCCCCAGCTCCAGAGTTGCTGATAGGAACTCTGGTGGCCTGAGGGTTGGCCTTTCTTACATGCTCCGGGGGGCCAGGGCGGGGATGTGCTGAGGCCGCTGCTCTGGGCCCTCAGTGCGTGCGTGCTACTCTAATAGCAGTTGGAGCGTTCCTGCTCCCAGACCTGGTAATTCCTGTCCTGTCTGGCCCAGTTCTGTGTTTTTCCTAGTCTTTATTTTTCATTTTGATAAGAAGTTTCCACCATTGACACCTTTGAAGGGGAGAAAGAATGGCGGTGAAGTGCGTTTCACAATGCATGTATAGCTGATTTCATCATTTTTTCTAACAGTTCCAACACATTTCTCCCAGTGATGGTTGTCTCTTTCCTGAGAGGTTGGATGCATGCGCATGCGCTCCGTGACCTTTTTTCTCTGGGCGCCTGGCTTCAGTTGCAAGAGCATGCAACTCTTGATTTTGGGGTCATGAGTTTGAGCCACATTGGGCATAAAATATGCCCACGTTAATAAAAAGTAACCCTTTTTCTCCAACAGTGGATTGAATGTTTGGATCCAGCTTCATTTTTCATTTTTCCTTTTTTTTTTTTTTTAAGATTTATTTATTTGAGAGAGAGCACACACACATGTGTGCAAGCATGGGGAGAGGCAGAGGGAGAGGGAGAGAGCAAGAGAACCAGACTCCCCACTGAGTGCAAAGCCTGAGACAGAGCTGGGTTCCATGACTCTAAGGGCGTGACCTGAGCCAAAACCAAGGTTTAGATGCTGAACTGACTGCACCCCTCCAGGTGCCCCATTTCTGCTCTTTTTTTTTTTTTTTAAGATTTTATTTATTTATTTGACAGGCAGAGATCACAAGTAGGGGGAGAGGCAGGCAGAGAGAGAGGAGGAAGCAGGCTCCCTGCTGAGCAGAGAGCCCAATGTGGGGCTCGATCCCAGGACCCTGAGATCATGACCTGAGCCGAAGACAGAGGCTTTAACCCACTGAGCCACCCAGGCGCCCCTCTGCTCTTTTTAATATGAGTTCACCTTGCTTTCTAGCTGTCTCACTCTTGAACCCCTGATTTTCAAATTCTTTCTTTGGACCAAAGCTCTGAATTTCCTTTCATGTCCTCCTGCCCCCCCATCCCACACGTCCATCTTCACTCCCTTTTTCTCCAGAGTATCTTTGTGATTATTGCTTCTAACCAGGTCCTCAGGCATGTCTAACCTCCTGACCTACTGCCAGTTAAGAGCTTTTTCCAAGGAACATTTGTCTCTACACAGTTCCTGATGGAAGGACTGTGACGTTCATCTAATGACTGGTTTTTGTGAGATCCAGGCCAGTGTTTCCATGTAGATTTGGTATGGTGGCCTACTGGGGCAGTCAATCTTGTGGAGACATTTCTAATGAAAGTAGATCGCTGTTCCTTTACTTCTTAAGTTTTACCATTCATTTCTTAAGCATCAGGTCTATAGTTTGAATCTAAAGCTTTCTATTCGGCCAGCATTCTGGTTTTTTTAGTGGCTGAAAGAAGCTAAAGTGGAGAAGCAGACCGAGGGTTTTGCAGTTCTGTTGGGGGTGACAGGCAGCTTGCTTTTCCTCTCTTATGTGACTGGCTGCAAATTAGGGGGAGTTTTTCTCTAGTCTTAACAAGGTGGGTTTAACCTAGCTGTGTTTATAATTAAGAATAGTAGGAGTTGCATTATTTAACAAATGAGGCAGCAGTGGGTACCCGCCAGTACAAACAGCACCGGCCACAAGGAGAGGGGGCGTGAGCCAGCTTATTGGCTGAGTCCCAGGCCAGCTGACCGTGAGATGCCATGTGTCCTTCAGCCGCCCACCTTGACTGAGAGGAAGCAGAGCCGCACGGGGTCTATCGTACTACCCTACATCATGTCATCCACGCTGCGGAGATTGTCCATCACCTCAGTGACTTCCTCGGTCATTTCCACCTCTTCTAACTCATCTGATAATGCTCCTTCCAGACCAGGATCTGATGGGTAAGGGTTCAATTTTTAATTGCTGGGAAGAGGGGAGGGCGGGTTGTCTCCTTACTACCCTTTGCCTTGTGTCACCAAAGGAGCCGTGATCCATGTGGACGCATCACCCTCATAAGGGCAGTAATTCAGAGTATGTGGTGCTTATTCTCTGGATCATTCTCATTGTCTTCCTCCTGAGGAAGATCATGATTTACATAATAATAATAGTTATGACAGATGGGATCATAATCACCCATCATCCTGTCACATCCTGTCACCCACTCTCTCACGTCTGATTTTTTTCATCTGAATTGATTTTCAAAAGTAATTTTAAAATTTATACTTATTCTGTAAATAGGTAATATAATTACATGATACAAAGTTCCGAGGTACAAAAGGGATCACTCATGAAAAATGACCCATTATTGGTCCTTGACTCCTACCTTACCAGCACCCCTCTGTGGAGGCAAACAGTGTTAGCCTTCAGGTACTCGGTGCCTTTCCAACAGCTCTTCATACATACGCAAGCAATACCTAAATATATATTCTTCCTCACACTTTATTTTTTGTATGAATGGAAACGTAATACTTTCTTTAGCTTGCTTTTTTTACTTACTATGTCTTGAAAATCATTCCACTTCAGAATGTCAAGAGCCTGCTCTTTCCTTTGAGCCGCAGACATCTTGTGATGGCCGCACCCTGACACATTCCATGGGTGCCTATTGGTGGATGTTTAATTGACGTCAGCCTTTGGCTGTCACAGCAGGGTGGCAGGGCAGAAGCTTAAAAACAACGTATTCTGTAAATATACAAGTATATCCATATGAGGAAAATTCCAGAAGTGAAATTGCTTTGTCGAACATGTATAGTTGCGGTTTTCGAAATTATTCCTAGACTGACTTCTGTAGACATTATACCAATTTAGAGTCCTGTCAGCAACATAGAAGGGTTCCTCGTCACCCGCACACCCCAAATTGTGCATTATCAGCCTTTTTAATTTTCGCCAATCTGATAGGTGGAGAGTATTTTCATGGTATAGGGTTTCATTTTGGTTTGGTTTTATTTCTCTTGTTTTGTGTGAATCTGAGCTTTGCATTCTTTAGTAGCTGTTTGTATTTTATGTTCTGCAAACTATGGTGAAGTATTTTGGGTACATGTTTCTGCCGCGTTTGCTCTGTCTGTAATATTAGTTGAAATACGTCCTCCAGTTTCTCCTCTGTCTTTTGACTTTGCTTCTCATTTTTTATTTAGTTCTGATTTTTTTTAATGCAGTCCAATAAATTAATGCTGTATTTCATGACTTCTGGATTTTATATTATGATTAAAGGCCTTCCCCACTCTAAGGCTGCAAATAACTAATTTTAGAGTTTCACTATTCACCACTAAATCTGATTCTTTGAAATTTATGAGTATAAAATGTGAGGTATAAAGTCAACTTTTTTTTTTAGCCACATAACTACTCAGTTATCCCTGTAACATTTAGTGAGCAAACCATCTTTTCTCTACTGATTTGAAATGTCAGCCTCATTACAAAATCAAGTTCCTGTATGTCTATAATCTATTTGCAGACTCCCCGCACCCCACCATTTCTTTGATCTCCCTGGGTGTTCATGTGCTAGTGCTCTGTGGTTTTTAACTACTGTAGATTTGAAAGGCTTTTCTTTCTTAGTTATCCTTTTCAGAATTTATCTGGCTACTTTTACTCATTGCTCACTTGTGGATTCACTTGTCTGGAATCTTATTGCTATTTTTACTGGGATCATGTGAAACTTCTGGACTAACTTTGGGAGGACTGATGGCTTTTTTATGTCAAACCTTTTTTGCCAAAAACATGGACTGCCTTCTCATGTGTTCAAATTTAAGATATTTTGAAGGACCGAATTTGTAGTTGTGTTCTTTCTGTTTAAAAATACTGTTTGAAAACAGTATTTTGCTAATTATATACTTAATCTATGTACACGTAGAAATTTTTCAAAGTACAATTTTTCTTTTTAAAAGAAAGATATTTATCACATCACTCAGAAGTAACCACTGTTAAGGTTTAGTTATAGAACAAGAAAAGCATATATACATTTTATAGAATTGGAAAAGCATCGTAGGTACCATTTTGTAACCTGCTGTTTAATTTAATATACACGATGAATATTTTTTTTTCTTTAGAGAGAGAGAGGGCGCGTGTGAGCAGGGGAGGGACAGAGGGAGAGAGAGAAATCCTCAAGCAGACTTCCCACCAAGTGCAGAGCCCTGTGCAGGTCTCTGTCTCACACCCCTGAGATCATGACCTGAGCTGAAATCAAGTCGAGACTTAACCGACTGAGCCGCCCAGGTGCCCTTATTAGCATTTTTGATGGCTGTTTATACCATTGCATCCTACGAATGCGCCATAATTAAGCCTTCTCTTACTATCAAATATTTAAGCCGTGTCATTATTTCTGGACAGGTAATCATCAAAGTTCATTATGAATTTCATATCAAAACATTTAGCCTCTGTCAATATAAAATGCAGTTTTATTGTTAAGAATTGTACTGAGCGTATGTGTACAGATAGCTTTCCAATTATTTAGGATACATTCTCATATCCTTTCTTGAGCTCTTTTGGTTAAGACCAGGTATAGGATGCATTTTCTAGAAGCATACATTCCCTAGTCAGAGGACGAAATTCATTACAGTTCTGATGTCAAACAGTCCACAATATGCAGTGCCACATGCAATAGGAGGACTGGGTATTTGCACTGTTTTTAATCCTTAGCATAATAAATATTAGATAGTCCTTAATTCATTTATTTTTCTCTTTTTATTTTTTATTTATTAAGAGATCCTACCTACTCTATGGAAAGCATAAAAGTTCTGTTCAGTAAGACTCTTTTCTTAAATCAGTGGTCTCATTCAAAAACAGAAAAGGTTTGAAACAGCTGTTGAGCATTAGGGCACCATGATTGCTGACAGGGCAGTAAGCAGAGAACCGGTGAGTGGGGCCCTCTTCATGCCACGACCCAGGCAAGGTGGGTTATTGACCTTGCCCAGATTTCCTCAATGAGTAAGAAGCCATTGATAATATTTCCTAACGTTATTTAAGATGTTTCTTTAAGGCATCTGAAACTGATTATCAGCTAATGACCCCAAGTCTCCCATTCCCAGTGTGATGTCACAATATTCATGAATACTTTCATGATGATTATTGGGGGTGCCATCGGTAAAGGGCCAGTTCTTTATCAGAGGGAAGCGGAACATATCCATCCTATCTGGCAAATGGTAGGCCAAGGCACAGAAAGAGAATTACTTTTTGAAACACAGCTCATTGTGTTAAGGGAAACCAGAAGGCCAACTAAGTACATGCTTAGAACACCAGCAAAGTTGGGGCCCCAGAACAAAATTGTTTAGAAAAAAACTAATCTTTGATATTGCAGGAAAATCACTGAAGTAATCATTATAAGAAAAAAATGACACAACCCTGGGGGAACCATATTGTGGTCACTATAGTTCAGTTTGATTCCTAATTAGGCCCTAGTGAAACTCGTATCTTTGACAGGCAACCTGGTGACCCACAGCCTTCATTTGTAGTCTCTGAGGCAAAGTCATAATTGATTCCGTAGAATCGGGGGTGGTTGTTTCCTTTCTCCCTGACCAATTACTGTTTGAGGTGATCTTGTTTGTTTGTCTGATTTGGCTTATTTGGTTTTAAGAATAATTAGAGTCTTGGGGTACCTGGCTGGCTCAGGCAGAAGAGTGTGCAACTCTTGATCTCAGGGCTGTGAGTTTGAGCCCCATGTTGGGTGTAGAGATTACTTTAAAAAATAAATTCTTTTTAAAAAATTAAGAATAATTAGTCTTTCTTGGAATTTGGTTCTATGATGTTTCTTTAACCAGTACAGATTTAAGATAAATAATAGCAAGTGGCTTCCCCATAAATATATTAATAATTGAAAAATACCAGAGGAGCGTCTGGGTGGCTCAGTGAGTTAAGCATCTAGTCTTCTTGATTTCAGCTCAGGTCATGATCCCTGTGTCGTGAGATCAAGCCGTGCGTTGGGCTCTATGCTGAGCAAGGAATCTTGCTTAAGATTCTCTCTCTCCCTTTTGTGCCTGGGTAGCTCAGTTGGTTAAGCATCTTCTTTCAGCTCAGGTTATGATCCCGGCATCCTGGGACTGAGTACCCACATCAGGCTCCTGCTCAGCAGGGAGTCTGTGTCTCCCTCTCCCCCCTGCCACCACCGCTTGCACGCTCTCTCTCTCTCTCTCTCAAATAAATAAGTAAAATATTAGGGAAAAAAGGGTCTTTCACTAGCTCTCCCTCTACCCCTCCCTACCCTTCACATGCTTTCTCTCTCTAAAAAAAAAGAAAGAAAGATAAATATCAAAAAATTAAAAGCCCATACATGCAGTCTTTTAAAAAGCAATAGAAAAGGAGAGAATAATTTGAAATTAAAAAACAAAAAAACACTATCTACAGGCATTTCCCAGTGTGACTGCATGGGCTCAGCCTTGGTCAGACTTCCCTGGGACTTCTTCCCCTTACCTTCACGGAGCAAGGCACCCACGCTTTGCAGAAAGGGGGACCATACATTAAAAGCTTAAAATGGCTTAAGAAGCATATCAACCAAACAGTGAATGAATCCTGTTCGGATCTTGACTCAAACAAGCCACTTCCAAACAATTTATAAGACATCAGGAAATGTAAGCACTGGATGTTCAGTGAAATGAAGAAGTTATTTCTTTTTGTAGGACTTATGATGGGAGTGTAGTTATGTTATGAAGTGAGTCCTTGCCTCACTGAAGTAAACACTGAAATATTTATGAATGAGATGATATAACATCTGATCGCTGCCACGTGATCCAGTGAGGGGCGAGGAATGTGACTCAGTTATACATAAGAAAGCAGACTGGCCATGAGTTATCATTATTGACACTGAGTAATACACACATGGGCATTCTCTTCACTTTTTTACACGTTTGAAATTTTCCATATTATGTAAAAAAGTCTTTGCCCCCTCCAAATATCTTAGTATTTGAGTATTTAATAACTTTTGACACTAACTTTTTAAACTTACTTGGATTTCCATTTCATGAAATACCTATTTATCCTTTGACGATTTTAAAAAATTGAACTACTCATTCTTTTGTTTATTTGTAAAAGTTTCTTATATATCAAAGATATTTGCCATCTAACATATATCCAGCAGATAGTTTTAGTTTACTAAGGATGCTTTCTGCCAAATAGACTCTTCTGTTTTATTTTTATTATTATTATTTTTTAAGATTTTACTGACTTATTGGAGAGACAGTGTGAGAGAGTATCAGAGAGAGAGCACAAGCAGGGGGAGTGGGAGAGGTAAGAAGCAGGCTCCCCGCCAAGCTGGGAGCCCCATGCGGGACTCTGTCCCAGGACCCTGCCTGGGATCATGACCTGAACCAAAGGCAGACGCTTAACTGACTGAGTTACCCAGGCATCCAGAAGCTTTTATTTATTTATTTATTTTAAATACTAAGAACCCATCTGTGTTTTTATGTTGTCTTATTTTATGCCACAGCTTTTGTGTGTGTGCGTGTGTGTGTTTTGTGGACTTTGTCTTTTTTAGAGCAGTTTTGAATTCACAGCAAGATTAAGAACATACTGCAGGGACGCCTGGGTGGCTCAGTTGGTTAAGCAGCTGCCTTCGGCTCAGGTCATGATCCCAGCGTCCTGGGATCGAGTCCCGCATCGGGCTCCTTGCTTGGCAGGGAGCCTGCTTCTCCCTCTGCCTCTGCCTGCCATTCTGTCTGCCTGTGCTTGCTCTCTCTCCCTCTCTCTCTCTGACAAATAAATAAAATCTTTAAAAAAAAAAAAAAAAAGAAAAGAAAGAAGTTTAAAAAAAAAAAAAAAAAGATTAAGAACATACTGCAGAGTGGTGCCTTCATTACCACTGATGGACTCACATTAGCACATGACCGTTGCCCGGAGCCCGTAGATGACGATCAAGTCCCCTCTTGCTGTTGTACGTTCTGTAGGTTTGGACAGATGTATGGTGACAAGTATTCACCATTACAGTATCATCCAGAATAATCTCACTGCCCTGAAAATCCTCTGTCTCTGCCTATTCATCTCTCTAAGCTTTCTGTTTTTATGGAGCAAAACTCTAAATTTTTAAACAAACCAGGGCTCACTGAATAACCGTTCAGAAGGTCTAAGCAATACCCACCCTAAAGGTCTCGTATCTTTTTTAACCCTCCTTGGTTTTACATTTTGCTTCAGTCACTCCCTCTCTGCCTGTCCCCCAGCAGCCCCGTTCTACCATTTGAGAGGAGGCTGTGTGCTTTATGCTATAAGGCAAACACCTTGTCTTACATCCCTGCATCCTGCCTGCAGCCTGTCTGTTCGGAGATTTGGTGTTGATGCAACACTGCAGACTCTGCCCCGGATTCCAGCTTTGTCAGTTGTCCCACTAGGTATCTCATACGGAGCAATTTCTCGTACAGAACAAAGTTGGGGTCACGTGCTGCTTTGGGCCACACCCCTTTATTCTTCTTTAATCTAAAGTCGTTTGGCCTTTCCTTAGTTTGTCTTTCATTGTATTGACCTTTTTGAAGATTACAGGCCAGTTGGTTTGTAGAATTTCCGGGTTTGTCTTACATGTCCTCGTGCTTAGGAGTCAAGTTATAGACTTTTGTGTCATGTTGTGTCTTTTTTTTTTTTTTTTTTTTTTTTTAAGATTTTATTTCTTTATTGGGTGACTGGCTGGCTCAGTGGGTGAGCTTTCAGCTCAGGTCATGATCTCAGGGTCCTGGGATCGAGTCCCACGTCAGGTTCTCTGCTCTGTGGGGAGCCTGCTTCCTCCTCTCTCTCTCTTTGCCTGCCTGTCTGCCTGCATGTGATCTCTGTCTGTCAAATAAATAAATAAAATCTTTAAAAAAAGAAAGATTTCATTTGTTGTCCCCATTTCACAATAAGGAAGTTGAGGTATGAGAAGATTTTCTGCCCAAGATCACCTACGAAGTAGTAGAGGTAGGATCTGAACGCAGGCGGTCTCTGGGTCATGTGCTGTTCTCTAGTGTCTGAAGCTGCTTATTCATCTTTTACTGTATGAATTCTATCTTTGCCTGTAGATGTAGTAAGCCTTTCTCTTCCTGCGAGAAGATGCACGTTCAGAGATTTTCCTTTCGTACTGGGATGGTCTCGTTTCATGGATACCTCAGCATGTCTAATTGGCAGTTAGAAATTCAGATTTAGAACCTGAGAGGAGAGTCACAGGTCAGGATGGGGTTGAGGAGTCCTAACCCCTGATTGTGGGAGTACATTCTGACTGCCCGGTGGTCAGTGTTCTGTGATCCTGTCCTTGTTTTTGGCTGGTAGGTCAATCCTGGAGCCACTTCTGGAGCGCAGGGCTTCGTCAGGTGCCAGAGTTGAAGATCTGCCCCTCAAAGAGGACAGTGAGAACCGGATCAGCAAGTTCAAGCGAAAAGACTGGAGCCTCAGCAAGTCCCAGGTCATTGCAGAGAAAGCGCCAGAACCTGATCTGATGGTAAAAAAAAACACACACACACACACAAAAAAAACAGCAACAAGGGGTCAGGTGTGGCAAGCAAACAAGGGCCAGAGGTTCTCTAGTGCTGTCCTTGCAGCCACTTGCCACTCGCCACAGAGCCGTGAGTCACCAGGTGGAAGTCCAGCCGTGCTTCCTCAGGACCTGGCAGCCTGTGACAGCATTTGATCTTACACTGTGCTAAAAAAAAAAAAAAAAAAAAAAAAAAAGCACATAGGGCAAATTTGAGTGTCTAAACCAGTAGTGGTGCAAGATCTTGTACTCAATGTAAACACGTGGGCTGATGCTCAGAGCTGTGGTTCTCACCACCATGTTCCATGAATCAGTGCATTGTCATTTCTCTTCTTTTAACTTAAAAAAAAAAAGTGCTTTTTCTTCTTCCATGAGCCACATCATGTTGTTAAGTGTGGCAAGACCAGCCTTCCCTGAGAATCACGGGTGGTTCCTTTCCAACCCAGACAACACAGTCTGACTGTGGTCAGACTCAGGCTCATGGCCAGCCAGGAAAGAAGGTCTGCTTCAGTGACGCCCTGTCAGGGCCTTTGCCGGCTCGCCACCTGACAGGGCGGGAAACTCAACAGTGGCCCCTGGAATGGGTCTCTCTGACAAGTCGGTGCTCAGCAGGCAAGGTGTTGGGAGCATTGACGAGCTCAGCCTTTCTCACGTGAGTCTGTTTCGCTGTGCCCCACCCCCCACCAGAGCCCAGCCCGAAAAGCACAAAGACCAAAGAGTCTCCAGTTGTCGGACAATCGGCTGACGCCATTTCATGGTTCTTCACCTCCTCAGTCAACACCCCTGAGCCCACCTCCACTCACTCCAAAAGCTACCAGGACCCTAAGTAAGTTATACACACACACATACAGAGAGAGAGAGAGAGAGAGAGATTTAGAAAGATACAGACATATACTTTCTCTTTGCTTTAGTAGGGAACAGAGTATGTGTATGGATCTGGGCAATATTTAGCTGGAACAGCCACACAGTATATGAGGTTATTATAAAGTTGGCTCATTCCATGGTGGTGGGTATAGCAAAATTAGAGTCCGACCAGGAGTCTTTGAGTTGCTAGGACTCATTACCCTTCTCTGTAGAGTGACCCAGAGGGTCTTACAACTCCTTTTCCATTTATGAAGGTATAATGAAGTAGAGCTAGATGGGGACCAGACAGGAAGCAAGTAACTTAAAAACTACTGGGTAGGTAGCCCTGTACTTGGTATTGGAAAGGGTCCCAAAAAAGGACAAGAAATAGGCCTGTTCCATATACTGCTTACAGTCAGGCCTGGGGAATCAGCAATGCACAAGGCCTGAGAAGAATTCCAAGGTACCCTTGGTACAAAGAATGGAGGGGTAAGTCATCATGCCCATGGGCCATGGGAGTCAACCAAGAGCTAGAGATAATGAAGTAAGTTTTCTTGGAGGAAGTGGATATCGCATCCTTTAAATGATCAAACTGAGACAGCTCAGTTAAATTTAACCAGTCTTTATTGACTGCTTACTTTGTGACAGACATTTTTTCAAAGTACTTGGGGTAGATCAGAAGATAGAGTCGTACCTTAAGTTCTAGAAAATGTCTTCATCTCCAGCTTAATAGTAAAAATCCTAAGCAAAAAAAAAAAAGGGATTTTTACTTCAGAACTTTTTATGAAACCTTCTGGTGAGTAAACAGTGCTGCATTTGTCATGAGGGCCAAGAGGTTGTTTCCATTCTGTCCGCGGAAACTATAGAATATCGCCTTAGCCATTTGATTGGCCAGGTTGGTTTAGGTGTTAAAATGGCAAGCAGAGGTTCTATTAAGATTCCTTGATGAATTCTTCTCTCTGTCTTCATCTACTTTGTATCATTTCTAGGCTCCCCGTCTTTGCAGACAGATGGGCTGATGACTACTACTGTCCCGCCTCCCCCTCCCCCCAAAAGCAAACCCTACGAGAGCGGCCAGAGGAACTCTGCAGAGGTAAGGAACAGCCGCACTGGGGTCAGAGCACCCAACTCCCGGGAGCACAGTGTTGGTTTTCCAAGCTTTTTGCTAGACACATTTCCCATAGATTAGTCGCTCTAATCACTTCTTGACTCATGCCTGAAACCATAAAACATATAAGGGAGTTTCTAATGGGAAGTAACAAAATGCAAGCAGACCTTTTTGTCAGATCAAAGGTAGAGCTCTTCTCTGTACCTCACCCTGGGTACAGGTGAGTGAAATCAGTGAGTTCTGGTTCACATGTGAAGACTGTACTCCTTCTGGATGAGTGACAGTCATTCTGGAATGGCCTCGTCCTGCATTCTTCAACAAATATTCATTGCCTTCTGTAGATATGCCAAGAACCCAGGTGTTGGGGAGATAACATTTTGGGGTATCCTCTGATTAACCCAAGGAGAACAAGGGAAGTTAAATGAGTGTTGTTTCCCTTCTCTCCTGGCCAAGGCTGCATAGATAGATCAGTTAGAAGCTAAAGCACTTGTTGGAAATGTGGAGGAGAACCAAGTCAGGAGGAAAGATGGGATTCATTTGACTCTCATTGTGTCTGCTCCCTCAGATTGCCCCTCCACTGCCGGTCCGCAGAGAAGCCAAATGCCCACCTCCACCTCCTCCCAAAGCCCGCAAATCTGGCTTCCTTGCGTCTGAGCCCGGATCCCACTAAGGGTCTTGCCAGGTCTCCAGAACTCTGAACACCTTGAACACCTTGAACAGCCTAAGAGGAGGCCCTGTCCTCGTTCCCCAGGGCTCCTTGCTGACCCCCTTCCTGATCTGGGGTCAGCTGTGCCGCCTCCAAACTGGTGGTTCTTTGAAAGGCTACTGTGAAGGAAGCCTAAGCACCGCCCCCACTCCAGTCTGCATGGATTCCAGAATTGGTCATGTCCTCTGTCTTTCTCAAAGGAGAGATCTCTCTCACCGTTATTAAATTCAGCCTCCAGCCCAGAGCTGCTGCGGCCTACAGATGCCTGGCTACATTCTTCTGTGGAGGTCGTTGAGCAACCCCAGGAACCTGCACCTTGGAAGGATTTGTGAAAAGCTCTGCTTGAGACTTGATTTTCTCACGTGGACACACCGTGTCCCGAATAACATTGGAAAAGACACGCCTCAAGTACTTCAGTAGTTGAAATAATCCTACCTTTCTGATGTCTGCTTATGTCTTCTTTAAGGAAAAGAACATCTTTGTAATGAAGATTGGTAACTTTCATGTATGAATAGCTATCATTGGTGAAAAACCATGGACTCGACTGTGGGGTCTGAGCTCCTGCCATGCCCCCTCCACCCCGACCCCAGACTGGCTACGTGTGGCACAGGAACCCTCCCGGGAGTCCCTCACACTCTCAACTAACCAGCCCTCACCACACCGTGTCACTCCTTCTTGCTACAGACTCCCTTGAAGCTCTTTCTTTTACCTCTTCTGAGCTCACATCACTGGACAGAAGGGACTTCGAAGCCCGGGTTCAACAGCTTCTCTTCCAGATCCCATTTGGTTGGCTCAGTGACCCCTCTCTGCTACCCGATATTACCCTGGAGAATATAGTGCAATATCTCCCTTTGATTATTTATTCCTCGTGATTGTGGAATTAATTTGATTACATGTTCACGGTACTAAGTCCGTAGTCCTTTCGGAAGAAGAAATGGGCTTATTCAGATGATTGGATATTACGTACACCTACACGAACCACACAAGGTTAGAGACGTTTTGAGCTAGAAGGGCCTTCACTAAAGGTCATACAAAAACCCCCTCGTTCTGTAGACAAGGAAACTGAAGCTAAACACAGAAAATCTGCCTACAGATTCTTATTAACAACCCAGCTTGCTAATTGAGGCTCTATCCCCAGGTAACACTTAGATCAAGAAGACAACCCTGACGAACTCCGTGATGAATTCCTACCCCTAGTTGGGGTGACGGTGGAAATGTCCCAGATGTTTCTATACTACTTTGACATTTATGGCAAAGTAGAAAGCTTTTTGTGGGTCCCCTAGGTCAGCATGTGGGGAAGCTCACAGGGGTCCCTTCCGTAACTGGGCCCAGTCCTCTTCCCCACCCACCCTGCCCTGAGGTAGAGAAAAGAAAGAGATTTCACCTCCAAGAATCCGGATTTGCTGGCCTGCTTCTTGGTATACCTGTTTCAACACCACCCCTCTCGGAAAAGACATACTTATGCTTCACAGAGTCAGGGACATACAAACCTCAGAGGCGTGGCCAGCATCCCACAAGCAGTTAGAGTGTGGATTTAGAAGTGCTGAGGGAAAGGCGGTTCTCCACTTCCACTCAGGGCAGACTTCAAGGGGGTAAACTAGAGAGAAGCTGGGTTTTGAAGTAAACCATTTGGTCTCCAACCATCCCAGCTGTGTCCCCTGTTAACTTTGCAAACTCCCTCAACTCCTTGTCATCGTCTGAGCCTTCATTTCTTCCCTTTCCGAAAGGGGGACGAGGACCTGCCGCACAGATAAGGTTCAATGAGATTGACTGTGTGAAATAATAGGTACGAAGTGGTCTTTCCTTTCCTCTGCTCGGCCTGAGTAAGATCTGGAATTCTCTTAAGAGCATTATTGATATTCTCCCCCCACCCTGAGGTCATTTGGAAAGTGAGTGCAAGTTAACTGAGCACATACAGTCCGTTTTAAAAAGATGACATCTTTTGGAGTTTCTTACATAATTATTTATGACTAAAGGAGAAATGTTAATAAGAACCAAAAAGGATTTTTGTGGAGAGAACGCAACGATGAGAAGGAATGGAAAGGTTATACGGGCTTTCTGTGGAGCCCAGAGCAGCTGCTGAGAAGTTGCCTTGCCCACTGGCTAGTGAGGATCTGTAGGCCTCCCTGACCCTATTTTTCAGTCTGGCCTTGAAAATAGAAAGATGTAAGCTGGTCACAAAAATACCAAACCTCAGGCATGTCCCTTCAGAGCAGTGCAAGTGAGTTCTGCAGTGTGGGCTTTGATCAGGGGCTGGGGAAGTCTGATGTGCCAGTGCCCGAATACCTTCCCTTTTTTAACAGAACATATTTTTCAATCTGATTCCCCTTCCACCTTAATGGAAATACTGGGTCTCTCCTGCCCGAATAGAAAGGATTCTAGGTAACGGTGTGGATTCCAGATTACAGGGAACATGGGGGAAGCCACTGGGTCAGAGGCACGTTTGACAAAAGATGATAAATCATGTCCTGAAGTCAAAGAGGAAGACTGCAAAGAAATGCCTTATGATTACCTTACATATGGGAGAGATAAGGAGCTGGGAATAAATGAGGAAAGAACTGGTCTTTATTTTCCCTGTTAAGAACTCTGGAGTATATTGAAAGTAGTCCTCAAACTGTCGCAACTGTGTGGTTATTAGTTTATGGGATTTTTTTTTTTTTTTTTAGTCCCTTATTTTCTCTCTCTCTGTTCTGGTGACTTGTCTTCCTTTGAGATTTTTTTTTCCCCTACGAATCACTTTATTCAACATTTATTAAGCTTTTATTGAAATCCAGACACCATACAAGACCCGCAGGATATGGCAATTCAGTGTGTCCAGTGGGAACAGCCTGGTATGCGGAGACTGTGTTGTGCTGTGTGGTTAGCAAGAGAGTGGGATTAGGGGAAAGCGAAACCCTCAGTAAGGCTGCTGGGCCATAGGCCTCCCCTTTTCCACCTCCCATCTGGATTCCAGAATTGCAGTCAGGGAGACCCATGAAAAATGCGGTCACCCTGCAGATCCCTGAGGCTAAAGAGAAATAAAGAGGAATTTGAGATAACAATCACCTTTGTTAACTTTTTCCATGCTGTGGGAGGCCTTCCCCTCTACTGGCCCCCAGATCAGGGGGTGATTTCTCCCTTTAAAATTGAGGCATGTCTTAACATACATATGGTCAAGTGCACAAATCCTGGAGGTACAGATGGATGAAACTTTACCGAGTCCTACACCGTGTCACACCCTCAGATCCAGACCTAGACTGCCTCCAGAGCCCCGGAAGGGTCCCTCATGTCCATGCTGTCCTTCTGCAACAGGCATTCAGAAGGCTATTCATAGCTGTAATTTCCTTCTTCTTGCTGCAGGGGTATAATGAAAAAAGGGGGAAAGCTCACCATAACACAGAACAGGACAGTCAAGACCCTGGACCTTTTGGCAAGTCAATTAATAGTCCGTCCCTGGGCCTCATTTTTCTCACATCTATATCCAAGGCTCCGTGATTTTTAGAATCCTTGTGGCCCTTGCTTTCTTTGATTCTAAGTGAATGAGAAAGGGAATCTGAAGGCAACAAAGTTTCCGTACAGTGGATTTTAGGCCTACATGCCGTTGACCGAGTGGGATTTTAAAGTTAGTTGGCGAAGGTAAGTTCCTCTTTGGGTGGGTGGAGCTTGGAGCCTCCAGTTCTAACCTACAAAAGGAAGAAGGTAGTTTTCCTTTTAAGTTGATGATTTCAGGCTGATTCTTATAATCTAGCCAATGCTGGTCTCCCACATACACTGCCTAAAAACTCGTCTTTTTGTCAGATTTTGTAAGTTGTTCATCTAGACTTTGTCAAGGCTCTGTTGCCAGGATTTTGTAAACTAGTTGGGTTTCAAACATGGACCATTAGGTGCATCGAGGTAGAAAAATTTTGTTCAGATTTGCTGTTATTTATTTTTTAAATTAAAAATGAAAATGTATTTTGAAGTTTATCGTGTTTAGTCTGTTATTACCCTTATGTGAATGAAACGAAATCATTCCTGAACTTTCCTTTATCGACACCTCCTTTGCAACACGTCACACCCAGTCCCTCTGGCCTCCTGTCATTATAGGTCCTGTCAGTTTAGACTCATGATATGGGGTCATGGAATCATCGTCGCCTGGGAACAGGAAGAACTTTTCCTCTTCCCTCACTTCTGTCCCCCTCCATCCATCCATCTGGCATCAGAGCTGATGGTTTCTGACAACAGTTCCTTTAAACAATGGGCTGTTTCTTCACTCGTTCACTGCAAAGGGAAATGGAAGAGGAGTAGCTACTAACTTACCTGGGAAGGCTAGAAACTGATTCTCAAACGAGGCTGAACATTAGTATAACCTGGAAAGAGGCCACACCCCAGACCAATCAAATCAATTTCTAAGAGAGGGGAGCATGACCCAGGCACCATATTCTTTTTACATCTCCCTGGTGTTATTCCAAACTTTGGCCAAGGCTGAAAATAGAGGAAATAACACCTTGAGAAAATCGGTGTTCAAAATGGATGTTCATTTCTTAAACTCCCTGCTGGTGGTGTGTCGTACTGTGGGGACGGCCACATTTCAGTTAGACTAGCCACACTGTTTGAAGTCCTGGGCTTATGCCTAAGATTTTTTTTTTTCTTTAAAGAAAACTGTCCCAGTGCTTTTAAACATTTGCCATCTATTGCTTTTTAGGGCAATAATACCCCCACTGTGTACATAAGAATCCCTGGCATGTTAAAGATGCAAATGGTTTGGGGCCCCAAGACTGAATCAGTAAGCTTGGGGAATCTTTTTGGATCTACAGTCCCTACTGAGAAATGCTACTTTAGAGCACTGTTCGCTGTCCAAATGTGTAAGCGCTGTTATTTCTTACAGCAATCCTCAGCTTTTTCCCAGTCCCCTCCAGGATTCTGCAACTTCTAAACCCTTTGCTAAAATGGTCTGTCTTCAAACCCACTCTTTCGACTCTTGATCATTTAAAGCCATATATACTTGAGAACTTATGAAAGGGGCCTCTTGGTATGTTTCCCCACCCTTTTCTTTCAAAAGGCTACAGGCCTTTTTTTGAAGCTGCGTTGATGAGGCAGAGAGTTCTTCAAGTTCAGGAAAATGTGTAAAATGTTAAGAAAGGGGTCATTTTCCCTCTCCTTAGGCAGTTGGCCATTCGCGAATCAGGTACCCAACATGTTCACGTAAGTTGCAAACCACCGGATGCCGTCCACATCAGGCAGCTGAGTGAGCATCTTTGTAGGCCATCCGGGGAAGCCCACAGCTTCTGGAAAACTGGGACTCCAACAGAACATAAAAAATAAGTGACTGTGAGAGGGGCACCTGAGTGGCTCAGTCGATTAAGCATCTGCCTCAGGCTCGGGTCATGAGTTCTGGGTCCTGGGATTGAGCCCCGTGTTGGGATCCCCGCTCACTCTCTCTCTCTCTGTATCTCAAATAAATAAATAAAATCTCAAAAAAGAATAAGTGTGTTGCCCTCTTCTTTTAATGCATTAACTGATGTAAAGATTGTAAAAGGTGTTGTTTTTAGGAACAAAAAAAAAGTTACTGAGCGATTGGCTGATGGAAGCCTCTCATCCCGCCTTGTATGTGTTGATTAAGGAAAATACGCAGTTTTGCTTTTTGTTCCACAGAGTAGGTTGTGAACTACATCTCTGCCTAATTTTATTGAAGTGGGAGCAAGAAAGTTCTTTGAGCTTTAGTGATTCTTCAAATGGAGATATTTGGGGAATCTATTGCACTATGATGATCTGTATTTAAAAAGGAAGGTTTTCTCTCCCGTGGACTGTTTCCAACCCCAATTCAAATTCCTTTACACGGGCCCTTTTTTGAGATGGAGGGGCAGGGAGAGGAGGAGGAAGCTTCTGTCTGTCTGAGTGAAACAGGGAAAGGGTCTCAATCATTGCCATGTGAACATGGGCTCAGTTTGTTACTGTGACATCAGGCAATTTACCTGAAATCAGTGTTTTTCAAATAGTCTCATAGTCACTTGGAAGTTGGGAGGATAATTGAGAACTGGTCTCATAGTGTCTGGGACCCCACAGTGAAATGATCACTAGTAAATGAGGTCGATGCATGAGCCCCCAGGATCCCTTTTCAGCTCCAGCTAACAAACTAGAACCAGTAAAAATACTTACTGACTTTCAAGTCTAATACCATCCGCTGTTCTTTTAGTGCAAAATGGGAGCCCTGCCCACGTACCCCGATGGAACTGAGCAGGTCCTTTAAACCCTGGTCTCCTTTTAAAGGGAAGACAAGAATAGTTAATTCCCAGGGTCACTGTGAGGGTTAATGAAAACGTTTATGCATCTGTCCCCACACAAAGCCTGACACTGGTCTCTGTGGAGAGTTAAATGGTGGCCACCGTATTTGACCAGGGTGCATGGGAATACCTGAATCCTGTCTTCAGCAGATTCTATGCTCCAGAGCTTTTCCTAAGAGAGAGCACCGAAAAGATCTGACAGATGAACGCTGTTACCTTCAGGCCTGGGTCCCAAACCTCTGCGTGCACCACTGGATGTGGTGAATGCAGGGACACCATGTGCAGCAGCAGGAACACTGGACCAAGGGCCCAGCACAGCCTACTCTCTCCGGAGGAGAGAACCTCTCAGGTTCCAGTTGACTTCCAAAGAGATGCAAAGCAGTCTGGGAAGGGAACTGCTCCCCAAGACGGGGGAAGTCTTGGCTGTGACCTCATTTCTATGGAGTATAGTCAAAAATCAAGCTACAACCCCAATAGAAAACTGTTGCTGAATCAGATTTTGGGGCCCGGCCAAGTAGGTGACTGTACTTGGGGCAGGGACAGGGCCCCTCCCCCACCAGAGTTCAGCCTTAGAGAAAAACTTAACATTTATGCCACTTTATTCACAACACTGTACTTCGCCATAAATATTCAGTTTAACATAAGCATATCTGGAATTCACACAATTTAAAGATGTCAAATGAGTCACAAGTTTCAATATCAGAATTACACTTGTGTTGTCAGTCCCTCTGGTTCAGCGGATTTAAATCCTCTTCTGCCCAGTTTCCTCTTCAATCAGACTTTCCTAAGAAATACATGAGCAAAAAATATGTCAAGGTTGATTGTACTAGCTAAATTTCACTATGCTTTTGATCTTTTTAATTTCCAAAATATTGATACAGAAAGAATAGATCTGTTTATTTTTGTGCACTAGAAAGGGCTAGAGAGATTAACAGATCATATATTTCTAACTTGTTTAATAAACATAAGATCTACATTAATAGTTTAAGGATAAGATGTGAAGGAGGTGAAAAAAAGGTCTGATCTGTTTTTTTGTTTTGTTTTGTTTTGTCTTTAAGATTTTATTTGAGAGGGAGAGAGACAGCATGAACCTGAGTGGGGTGGAGGGGGAGGAGCAGAGGGAGAGGGACAAGCGGACTCCATGCGGAGCGTGGAGCCCAATATGGGGCTTGATCACATGACCCTGAGATCACGATCCGAGCTGAAGCCGAAAGGTGGACACACTCAACCGACTGAGCCACGCAGACACCCTTGATCTCAGTTTGTTTTTAACCCAGCTTTTGCCTCAATACCTTCTTTCTAAGGTACGTTTGGGAAATGTCACTGCTTGCTATTATTTTTATTATGTGGTAAGTAGGAGTAGACACAGAAAGCCAATAAAGATGTCTGTCTGCTTTTTTTTCGTTGAACTGGAGGTGTAGAAGTCAAGGTCAGTGAACAAAATGAAAGCTATAGCTTGTGTTTGTATATGAGTTATTCAGGCTTTCCCTGCTCCTGGCAGAGCAGCTAATCAACTATAGTGGCCTGAACTGCTGCAAACAAATGGACCACGGGAGCTCAAAGAGCACAACGGTGAGCTCAAGATTCAAATTATATTCAAGTATGCTCTGCATACTTGCTTTCTTATTATCAAAAACCCGCATGAGGTTAGCAGAATCCCATTTTGGGTGGGAATTTGGAGATGGTTAGAATCCAGTCAGAAAACTAGAAATCAAATATGTGGCTCTGAATTATGAATTTACTAGTTTGGAATTTTTTATTCCAAAGGGGAAAAATAAACTAGAGCACCATTTTTTATTTCTACATTTTTCCAGGGAAAAGCCATTTCATACCAAGAACATTAGTGAAGACTTAAGGAATCCCGTGGAGAGGTGAGGATTAGCCTAGATTAGATGAGTCGGGGTTGGCGGGGGGCGGACAGTGGTAGATGAATACATGTGAAGAACTGACACGTAACAGTGGGAAGAAATCTAACAGTCATCCCAAAGGCTAGAACCAAGATTAGGGGATAAAGGTTACAGAGAGATTTCAATCTAATGGAAAAAAGGTTCTAACCGTTAGTACTGTCTACCCACTGAGAGAGGGTGTCACAAAATAGTGAGGCCCTACCCCAGGAGGAATTCAGGCAGTCAGAAAGGTAAGCCCCACAGAGGCTGAGAGGTGGTTGTCCCATGTGGACAACCTGGGAGGTGGCACCAAGGACCTTTCCATCTCTAAAGCTCCATGTCATTACAGCTGTGACTCACCAGAGCTCCTTTCAGGTCCCTGAGGGGAGGTGGGGGCTGGTGGATTGTGCATTCCAAGCGCTGAGGTTTTGCTGGTTGATCAAGCTCTTCTGCTAGCTGAGAAAAAAGAACATGATTCTTGCTGATGGAGATAAATGGAATGGAACGGTATTTTCCACTTCCGCCAAGAACTGTGTGTGGAGAGTGAGGTCAAGGGAATTGCGGGACGGGGACTTTATGAACATAGATCCACACTTGAGGCATTTATACAGAGGGGTGGGGTGTTCTGGGGGTACTGGTAGTAAGGAGAGTATATTTTCTCCCTAGAGATGATGAGAATGAAGTACTTTGAACCTCATGAAGGGATGGTCTACAAAAAGTCTAGGAGCTTCTAGTTACGAATAGGGATGACTTTTATTTTCAATTTTTACTAAATATGTCATAGTTAAATAAGAGTTACTTCACATATAATCTGTGGAGAGGAGACTTCAGATTCCAGGCCATCTTTATTTCATACTAAATTATCTTTCTTATGTCTCCAAAAAGAAAGATAAATGATTTTAGGTTTCTCTAGTTTTCTTTTGTCAACACTATGTTAAGTGTCCCAGCCCCAAATCGCTCATCCTTTAGGTTCTGTTTGTTTCCCATTAATTTAAGAACAATAACAACTGTATGTTTATTAATCCACTATCATTTTGGGGATTAGTAAGCTAATACTAAGACCTCTTTCATGTGATCCTTATATGACCCCAAGAAGTCTCATATTATAGATTAAAAAACCAAGTACCCTATGTTAGTCCTGGTACACATATTGAGATCAATTTATATGAAATCAAATTCAGGATACTTTCCAGTATATATTTTGTGTCCTTGAGCTTGCTAACCCCTCCCCACTAGCAGCCTCCAAGTTCTTTGCCTAAATGCCCATTTCAGTAAAAAGAAATGATAAGGCATAATGCATTCTTGATAAGAATTCTTATTTATGAGCTATGAAAATGTACACCAGCCTAGTATCATAGGTACTTTTAAAAAGACAAAATAAGGGAAAAAAAATAATCAGCAGAAGTTCTAAGATTTTCTTTTTGAATCCCAAGGAATCATCTTCCTCTGGAGACCTTGGGTCCATCCCACTGTTTTGAACTCCTTTGGCAATTCTAGATATTCAGAGTACAACCTGCTCCTTCGCACCTATTGCCATATTCTCTTGGAACTGTTCCTGTCTGAATAGAAAGCAGGGATGGGACTTGCCTTTGCACTTGTCTTGTGTCCCCCAGAATACCAACAGTCCGTGGAGCCCAGCAAAGCACGCTTTGGGGCACACACAGAATGTTACTGTAGACTGAATCACATAAGCCGCATCTTACTTTGATGATGAAAGAGCCTTACCTCTTGGAAAGAATCGATCAAATTTTCAGCATTTCTCTTTCCCCCAGGACGCAGTCCATAGGACCAGTGTTGGCCAGAGCAGCCCACCACACATAACGTCAGCAGAAGAAGACCAGCGACAAGTTTGGGAATCGGCTCCATTCTAAGGAACATCAGTGCAACAGTGAGAACAGACCTGGACTGGGTTGAGCAAAAAGTCAAGACCTTTTTGGTGATAAGCCTAATGTTTCTATGTTAAGTCTATAGGAGGCGGAAGTGGCAGCTGCCTGCTTTCACACAAAGACGTGAAACCCACATCTCCATGCGCTTGCCTCTGGTGTCCTAGCCACAGGAGATAAAGGCAGTACTTGGAACTTCCACGCTCAATACGTTTTTGTACCAAGTGAGTCTGCTTTTGTTTTTAGTATTTATTTGGTTATCCAAACTCCCTGATTCCTTCACTTACCAAGTTCACCTTTTTGCCTTAACATCCCCCCCCCCGCACCTCCCCCCACCCCAGATTAGTTTCCAACTCTTTACCAGTTCCTGAGATAAAGAGAATTGGACCATTGGCTTGGAAAGGTAGATCCTGCTAGGAATCTCTGGCTAATATAAAGTCGTAGGACATTAAATGCATACATTGTGGCACTAATTACATTTTGCTGAGTGTCTTTCCTGTCGTAAGTGCTGGCCGGACCATCTGTGAGCGTGAGAGAGAACTCAACACCTCTCAAAGCACCAAGCCCCAGACCAGATGTCTCCGTGGCCAAGGCGGCCTTGAATTAGCTGCTTACGGGAGGAATTCTCACAAAGTCTTCAAGTTACATTTCTTCTGATGGGAAAGAGGCTAAAGACAAAAATCAAATACTAGTCGATGAGCTGTGGTAATTATTCCCCAAAGGCTGGATCTCTGTGGCCCCCCCGTGACAAGGACTATGAAGGTCAAGTTTTCTTGGATTTAGCCCTTTGGGTGAAAAATGCCCTACAGACAGACAAAAGCATGTGGTCTCAAACAAGTGCTAGAAATAGAAAAGCTGTTTTACCTGTTTGCAGACAAAAAGCCAAAAGAATCCCGAGCTGCTTTTTGAATTTGTAGAGTTCTGTGATTTTTCATTTTCTTAGCTTCCTTTTTATATGAAACTTTTTCAGTACTGAAATCTTTCCTGCTGGTAAATTATACTGCACATGGACTATGGGGGTTTTTTTAATTGCAATTTTTTTAATCCTATTCACATAAAGCCCTTTAATGGTGTATGTAATTGGAACACCTACTGGTGTCTCTATGAAATTTACTTAAATCTTGGCCATTAAAACCTCAGCTAAGACTTTTATAGCTGAGAACACAATTCAGAGATTAAAATCTAGCTAGTTTAAATTCTCTTGAGGAAACTGATAGACCTGTCCAGAGCTGAGGGAAAATGGCTGTCGTTCAATTAAGTGATGTTAAGTGCAAACCGTAAAGCTTTCACAAAGGAGGCCATGTAATAATTATAGAAAGAAGTTGAGTCAGGATGCCTGGGAACTGGTCTCAGCTCTTCAATTCTTCATTTGTAAACAGAGCTGATTTATAAATACTAAGAAGTGATTATTGGCACTATACCTGCACCCATATAGGACCCTAAAGTAGATCATGTGAGTCTGAAAATTCCCCCATCTCCTCCCACCAGGTTCCTTCCTTGACTTACCTGGAAAGCCTTCTGTAGAATCACAATGTTAGGGAGAAACATTGTAGTTCAAGTACACCAAGCCCAGGACCACCTGGTGGGTGGCCAGTTGGCTCATTTCAGTAGAATACTTATTGAGTTAAAATATGCAAATCACTGTGCTAAAAGGTGGTGGGAACACCAAGGTGAGAAATAGTAGTTAACTGGCTTATGAATAAGACCAACCTCACTCATTACAACAGTCTTGCCAAGTGGATATTGTTATCCAAATTTCATAGATAGATGTGCCAACCCAGTGGTGAACCCTTGGGATATTTTATACAGTATAACATTTACACAGTATAAACATTTACAAAAGAAAGAGAGCCGTTACTCTTTGTTACATTTATTTGAGTACATGATTGTCTTCCCCTAATTTACCACTGGGTTGTGACTCAGGAGACTCAAGGAGCCCATCTTATTTAAAAGCCTGTTAAATCCTTAGCATTTAGTCAGCATTCAGTAAGTTTAAGTTCGAATGAATGAATGAATGAATGAATAAAAAGTAAGGACCTTTAAACCAGATTAGCCTTCCTCTATTTCTGCATCAAAGATATGTTTTATCAGACACAGAATTAAATCTTCCTGTACAATTGTGTGTGAGGCCTATTACATTAGCTAAGTTGTAAAATGGTTAAAAATGACTGGAATATTCATTTTAGAGCTCGGATTGGCAGTTTCTCCTCAGGTAGGATCTAAACCAATCAGTCATTGCACAGTGTCTTCTGGAACAATTACATTTGCAAGATGTCTGCATAAAAAGCAATGTGGAGGGCAACTTAACTCTGTGCTTTCCTCAGCCATTTCTGTGGAGGTTGTCAGAGTCTCATGATAGGGTAGAGAGGGGATAAGCTTTCAAGTATAATTGCAGACAGAGGGGAATTTAAAGAAAAAAAATAAAGTGATCAATTTCATTTAAATTATTTTATTTCCTTAGACACAATAATTTAAGAGCCATTTTGACATGAAAGTTATCTCATCTCACTGTAATACAAAGGTAATGAGAGGCTCTTTTTCAACAGGAGTTCATTATGTTTGAATAGTGTTCAAATTCTCCAACGGATTTCCCATTTGCTGAAAGAGGTGTGCTCCTAACAGTGTTATGTAAGCAGATGTGGTCATTGGTCAGGACTAAGGAAATGGGAGGTAAGACATCTGACTCTTATTTCATGTTAAGCACTTATCTTTGGTTACGCATCAGTGGATTTCTTGTAGCTTATTTCTATCCGTTGGTATTAAACTTTTGAATCATGTTTTGAAATTTTGGGATGAACATAGCCACATAGTATATAAATAGATACAGTATGCTTTATGCCAAATCTATGTCATATTCTTAGGGCACATAGATCTCAAGGGCAAAGGCCAGATTCATTTTCTACAGCATGAAATAAGAGATGCAGTTTATGGAATTTCGATGTTTAGTGACAAACTTCGAAGTGTTTCATAGTTCCAAGGATAGACCATTTATCATGAATGGATTTTATGGTTGTCATAAATTTTTTCTCAATTTAGAAATTTCCAGATCTTAAAGTGTATGGCTTTAGAGGGAAAATGGTTTCACTTTCAACATTATCAAAACCATTAAAGTGTTACAATAATGATTCCGTAATCTTGATGAGTGATGGATACAACCCTCTTTTTTGCCTAATGTAAAATCTCAGCAGGAGGAATCCATGGTGAACTCCTGCTGCCATAGTTACAAGTTGTGAAAGGCTTTCAGAGAATTAATCCTTGCATTAAGGTGCTTTGTACAGAAAATGTAACCACTTTTCTTCACAGAGGTGTACCTTTTAAAGATAATACCTCCTTGGAAATTTAATGAAATTCTAGGGCTTTTCATTAAACATGATTTGAAGCTGACATGGGGGTAGATCTACAGTGTAAGTCACCAATTCATGAAATGAGCAACTGGAGAAAATATTTCAAGTCCTGATTTTTTTTTTTTTTAAGATTTTATTTATTTATTTGACAGACAGAGATCACAAGTAGGCAGAAAGGCAGGCAGAGAGAGAGAGAGGAGGAAGCAGGCTCCCGGCCTAGCAGAGAGCCCGATATGGGGCTCGATCCCAGGACCCTGGGATCATGACCTGAGCCGAAGGCAGAGGCTTTAACCCACTGAGCCACCCAGGCGCCCCTCAAGTCCTGATTTTTGATAATAACCTAAGAAAATGAATCTGCAGTACTTCCTACTAAAATTTTTTTTGAAACTGTAATTAGAAGAACTAGATTATATTACAACCTAATACCTGAGTAATTACACAAGTACTGAATTTTAATTTAGGTTTAACCTTTTTCTAGTCTCCCACCCCCACCTGTATTTTTACCTGTGTACAGACATGTTCCATCACTAGGTTTAATAGAAGTTTTACTATTTTGAAACTCCTCCCTCAAAATCCTCTCTCCCAGGTGTTAGGTGAGAATGTTTTGGGGAAAATGTTCTTAACCTCATAAAGCGAACTTTTAATGTTCATCAAGCTGAAGAGTAACTCGAATTAACTCAAAGTATTACTGGAAGGCAGTCTTGTCTTTTCAGAATTAATGAGATCTCTTTGTGTTGTTAGCATGGTTAGCATGGATTTTTAAAAAGAGGGTCATAAAATAATCGCACTTTAAGAAGTAAATTTGCCTGAATGGCACTTTCAAAGAGACTAATCGGTTTTAATTATAATGTTGCATTTTCGTTTCCAACCTGACCCTTGGGGCTGGTCATCAACATATGGTGAAGAAATGTAAGCAAATTACAAGTGCTGATTTTGAAAAACATGACAAGAAACTCCTTTTCAACATTTCACATCATTTATTAATGCAGTATACATTAGATCCAAAATCTGCAGTTTCTAAGCATACCACGTTTAGCTCTTTCGGATTCTTCTGCAGTTTTAAGTTATGTCTACAGAGGTACCCTTAAGTGGATAAACAACACGTTCTATAATTATTGAAAATATATAGTACAGAGTGAAATGATTTAAATATAATTTAGGCACATATTGATTATGAAAATAGATATCTCTCAATACAATACTTCTCTGTCTTGGTAAAAATAATAAAGCAAAGAAAATAATTCATTTCTGAAGTTGCTTTCCCTCACCGGTAAAGGTCCGACCTCCCACTATGCATATTGTACCTTTTACTGTTAAGGAAAGCTTTGCATATGTGTATATAGAAGAAGCTACGTAAATATTGAAGACATGTCCCAGAGGAGACAAAGTAGTTTTGAATGATTCATTGCTTCAAACTGATGAGTCTGCAGAATTCAGAACCTATTTGGACACAGCTTATATCCCTGTTCTTGGGGCAGACAAAAGGACACGGGTTACTGGTAAGGAGTAGAGGCCCTGTCTCTGCTACTGCAGAGATGAGGACTCGAGAAAATCAGTCTAGAATTGATTTAAATGAAACCAGAAAATAGATGTCAAAGACAGGTGCTGATTGGTATTACATCTTGGACCAGCCAAATGCCTTTACTCTTATTTCAGTTTTTTGGTGGCTATAATCAAACTGTCAGTTTAAAATCCCCTCATTCCCCACTGTAGGGTTTTAGCTGCAGTTATGGTGATGTCCAAAAGATGATTGCCATACTCATTCATATTTTATTTATAGCTTGGATTGCAGTGGACTGGGATTTATGCCTATTTCTAAGCTGGCCCTGTTTAAACTATTTGGCATTTGAATTAAATTAATATTAATAATGCACCTTGGTTTTTTGGTTCTGACATATCTTCCTATGCTTATTTTGACTATACAGGAAGAAACAAGGCGAGTAGTGTAAATTGATAAAATTGCCTGGTCTGGCGTTGAATGGAACCTGCTTTGAATGAAATTCTAATGATGCTCTTTAAAAGCTGTAGCAATAGGTAAATTCTTTGTCCATCTGGAGACTGTCCATCTGGAGAATTCCACCTTAACTTGAGCTGATAATGATGTCTTTTCTTTCACTCTGTCTCAATCAGTAAGAACGGAGGATTTAATTTAGCTACTGCTTTGTTCTAAAAAATAAACATGATAAAAATGAGCCTGAAAAGAGAGCCTTGGGGAATCTAATCTCACCATATTCACACAGCGTGACAGGTATTTAAAGTAGGGGAGTGCATCACTAAAGCTATTAATAAACCTGAACTCTGCAAAATTTTCATAAAGTTTAACAATTTAAATATCCATACTGCATCTAAAGATTCAATAAATATAATTGCATATGTTGTGCTTTTCATAAATTAAAATCCTCAAGTACATTTCAAACCAAGATGGTATTTCCACATCATGCCTATTTAAAAGCAAATATAATGGATCCTATTCCTGGTCATAAAGCCAGGAAAATCCCCCTACCTCCACTCAAAAGGCAGCAAGCTAATCTAGCTTCCCTACATCTATTACATGAGCGCTTCTCCATTAAAACCAGAATGTGGAAAAAAAGTCACTTTTTTCCTTTATGCACCACTGAGAACAAGCATAATCCTTTAAATGGTTTTTTGTTTTTGTTTTTGTTTTTAAATTCTCTTACAGTGTTATTTCTTCTAGACAACTGAGTGGGTGGAGAAAAAAAAACTGATAAGGAAAATATTTTGCATCTTGGACTTCTTCCTTCAGCGCTGAAATTCTCATCTGACACTTTGTGACATGTGCAGTGGTGTCAGCATCTCTTCAAATATAGCTCCCTTCACGTTGGAACCTCTCAGGTTGGCTTCTTGAAGATCACAGCCAGACAGATCACAATTCTGCAAGAGAAAACCAATATTCACGAAATTCGGGTGCAGGGTGAGGGCCTTCTCTGCTCCCTCTCAAAATGATTCCCCGGGCCCATGAAACTCATGTTATCATGAAAATCAGTTATTTCTGGAAAACTTCTGTTTTAGGAAGAAAGTCAGATTTTCTTCTATTGGATTTCTTTTCTCTAGGTGATGCTCAGGCTGAACATCACAAATCGAGATAAACAAAGGTTAAAGAGGAAGCATGTCTCTTCTGTTCATATATTTAAGAATCAGTCATTTAAAACCCAGAATGGACTCCAATGTAATAAATTTTATCTGGGCAAATTTACTATAATCCAACAACAACAATAACAAAAGGCCTGAGCAAGGCTGGGAAACATCATTAAAAAACATCTGAGCAAGAGATTTTACTTACAAAATTAAATTATGTAAGAGATTTTGCCTTTCCTGAACGTGAACCTTTTATAGCAGGGAACTGCCTTTTTTTTAAATCCCAAATTATATGCACAGTTCAATGAGTTTTAATAAATGTATACAACAGTTAACTACCACCACAATTGGAAGTTGTTTTTAAATTTCTCTTGTGATCACAGCGACAGATGAGACAGATTTTGGGTAAGTCCCTGGAGGTGCTGGGTGAAGGCACATAACCATTTAGGACAGAATGTCACCAGCTGCCCTTCAACAGTCAACCTGATTAGTCTTTGCAATCAGGAAGACTTTGACTACATGGTTAACTAAAACCAAGGGTGGGGGGGATCATCATCTTTGGTCTGACAGTACCAAATAATAAAAAATTAAATAACTGTGCTTATAATAGGTTTATACTTTTGGCTTTAGGCTGATTATTTTTGCCTTTAAGTTTAATGGGGCCTGCTACTCTGTTGCTAAGATCTATCAAGAAAACAGGCAAAAACATTAGAAGAAAAAAAAAACAAGCCAAATTTTGACCTACTATTCTCTCCAGTCCAATATAGGCCAGATTTTCTGGGATAGGGCTGTACTGTTCAATATGATGGCAACAGCCACATGTGGCTTGCTTCATTCATTTCATTCATTCATTTCATTCATTCATTCATTCATAAGGATTTTATTTATTTATTTGACAGAGATCACAAGCAGGCAGAGAGGCAGGCAGAGAGAGAAAGAGGAGGAGGCAGGCTCCCCGCTGAGCAGAGAGCCCGATGTGGGGCTCGATGCCAGGACCCTGGGATCATGACCTGAGCCGAAGGCAGAGGTTTTAACCCACTGAGCCACCCAGGCGCCCCATGGCTACTTATATTTAAATGGATTAAAATGAAATAAAATTTAAAAATCCATTTCTCAGTTGCACTGGCCATATTTCAAGTGCTCAACAGCCACAAGGGCTGGTTGCTACTGTACTAAACAGATTTAGAACCTGTCTAGCATTGCAAAAAGTGCTACTGGACAACACTGGAGTCTGATCAATAGCCCTTAAGTCTGCTAGCTGCATTTGCAATTTAAGACAACATACAGAATTCTGATGAAAGAGATACATGGACAAAATTAAAATCTCAAGTTGAGATTCAAAAAGAACATGACTCCAGTTTAGAACAGGCTTTCTTTGAACCTGATTTCAAACCTGGATATCTTTTAAATTTCTCAAGTAGTTAAAAAAATAATGTGACCCCATTCAATTCTGCTTGGAATTAAAACTTAAGAAAAACACAATGAGGGGCTCCTGGGTGGCTCAGTGGGTTAAGCGTCTACCTTCAACTCAGATCATGACCTCAAGATCCTGGGATCATGCCCCACATTGGGCTCCTTGCTCAGCGGGGAGCCTGCTTCTCCCTCTGCCTGCTGCTCCCCCTGCTTGTGCTATTCTGTGTCAAATAAATAAAAATCTTTAAAAAAAATCCACAATAAATTAGGTTAATAAAGACACCCATCAAAACTGCTCTATCTAAAGGAGACCCAAGGAAAAGAGGAGAAAGGAAATCAACTTAGAGCAAATGTCAGATGAATCTCTAAATCTGAGACTGGCATCTAGGACTTGTGTAACTGAACCCTGCTTTGGGGTTCAAATTTGTTGAAACAAGCAATCGATAAGAAAACATCCCTCCAGCGGTGTTGGCATGCTACCCACCTGTTTTTACCAGCCAAGTACTTTATGATTTCAATAAATTTTCATGAGATACCCGGTAACTGTGGATTCAAAAAACTCTTAAGAAATTGGTGACTCACCTCTAAATCCGTTCCTGCCAGAGTTGCTCCTCTAAGGTTACAGTTCTTCAACTTCGCATTTTTTAAAGTAGCAACTCTCAGGTTAATTCCTGTCATCTGACTTCCTTCCATATCCACACCTTTCAGATTAGCACCTAAAGTGAACATATTTAGGGAGTAGTTGAACTTAAAAATATTTATAGTCCTCTACCTTCAGAAAAAACCACAGGATGACTTAATGGAGGTGAATGATGACAGGCTCCTTTAACTTTTTGAAAGAACTCTGTGAACCATAAATCTCAGTCTCTCAACCAACTTCCACACAGAAAGAGTTTACTGTTGAAAAACTGTTTGCTTATACTATGAATGAAGAATGTTTTAGTCGATATTTTTGAGGGAAGGATTCAATTCAGTCTTAGACAAGTAGCGTTTTTACAGCAGCCTCTGGAAGGTTATAAGGAAGGGAAGTACCCTGTGTCCCTAACCTGCAACTAAACAAGTGACCAGTTCACTGACACAACAGTCATCAGGCATTCATGAAAAAACATTAAATGACACAATGACAAAAACTGCCTGGCTTTGTGCAAACTGAAATTCATTTTAGTCAGTGTAAGAGTATGCTGTTTAGTTTCCAAGTTTGAGATGCTGGTACTTAATGCTCCAACTAAAGCCTTATTCATGATCAAAGGCTGGATTTTCCTTAACTTCTTGCCTAACATATGACTGAGACCAAGACAGAATTTACTCTTTTGCTCATTCTCCAAGTATGAGGACAGAAGAAATCTGTATCTTCCTATAGTGGTCATGAATTCCCTGTAACAATTATTTTGTTGGGCTTTTTACTTCATGGTTTGTTTTTACCTTAGACAGTGTAATTATAGATAGAAGCTCACCTTCTAAATTGGCTTTAAGACCAGAAGGATCTTCAAAATTACACAGTTTCAAGGATGCTCCTTCTGCATTAGAACAGAGCATCTTGACTCCTTGGAGATTTGCACACTGGCAAGGAAAAGAGAGAAGTCCATGTTTTAACATTCAGAATTTTGTTTGGGCAAGAAAAAATTGGCTCAAACAGTAAAAGAAAAGATAGACAAGAGGTGGAAACTCAATTCCATACAATCACCATCAATTATTTTCTGTTTACAATGAAGACTTTTCTCACTAGACCCAAAAAGAATTGAGAACTATTTTAAGAAATAGTGTTTTTGTTTTTAAGATTTTAGTTATTTATTTGACAGAGAGAAAGAGAGGTCACAAGTAGGCAGAGAGGGAGGCAGAGAGAGAGGGGGAAGCAGGCTCCCTGCTGAGTAGAGAGCCTGATGAGGGCCTCAATCCCAGGACCCTGAGATCATGACCTGTGCTGAAGGCAGAGGCTTAATCCACTGAGCCACCCAGGTGCCCCAGAAATAGTTCTTTTAAAAGAAAGAACAGCCTAATTAATACGTCCATTTTACACAAAATGTTAAGAGCTTAGATAAGAGTTGGGAGAGTCAACTGTGACATCCTACTTCTACTTTCAGGAACAGCCCTGGTTGTGACATGAGAGCTGAAATGTATGGGTAAAGAAGGCATAAACTTGTCAGGGGTAGGGATTTCTCTTCCTTATTTCTGTAGGAATCAAAAAAATTCTTTATGTTCAATCCTGCTATTACTACCTTCATTTCAAAGGTAAGAATACTAACGCCAGCAGTTCCAGGCATCATCTGGCTACAAAACACTACAAACTGTTGTTGGGTCTTTCTGTATCAACCACTACTACACAACATTGACAACCCTGAACACCCAAATTATAGTGCAAAATACAAAACTAGTAAATAGTAAACTAGTAAAAAAAAAAAAAAACCTAGTAAAAAACTAGAAAATATATTTTAGAATTTTAAATTATGTTAATTTATCTCTGAGGATTCAATGTCATCAGATCAGAACTCCAACAGCAACTGGATAAGGCAGGAAGCTATAAAGGTGACATTAACATTAGAACTTCACAGACTGTGACCAAAGTAGATGATGAATGTAAAGCTGTCTTTTAAGAACTGTAAGGCACATACACACAAAAATGTAAGGCACTATATAAATGACAATTGTAGTTGTCATTAAAACTACAACAGTAAATCGGGGCACCTGGGTGGCTCAGTGGGTTAAGCCTCTGCCTTTGGCTCAGGTCATGATCTCAGCGTCCTGGGATCGAGCCTCACATCAGGCTCTCCACAAGTGAGGAGCCTGCTTCCCCGCTCTCTCTGCCTACCTGTGATCTCTGTCGAATAAATAAATAAAAATCTTTAAAACAAACAAACTACAATAGTGAAGATTTCTAAAATCCTAAGGTTGATCAAGTTATGTTATTGCCATACCTAACAAAAAAATTGTATTTTATAAGTGCAATTCCATTTACCCCAGAGTAAATTCTATGGAAAGGAAAATATGCTACAGATGATTTCAAATCACAGAAAACTGAGAAATGCACATATACTTTCCCATCTCTGCCTTTGCATTTACACAAGGTAGTACAGAAGCTCAGACTGAGTGGTAAGATAAATGAGGACCCGGAAGGACAAAATAACTAAGAGATTACTATAATTTTTTAACTTTTGAAAAAAAGATTTTATTTATCCATTTGACAGAGTGAGAGAGAACAAGGAGAGGGAATAGCAGAGGGAGAGGAAAAGCAGGCTCCCTGCAGGGAGCCTGATGCAGGACTTCATCATGGGATCACTGGATCCCATGACCTGAGCTGAAGGGAGACACCCAACCAAGAGAACCACCCAGGTGCCCCAATGACTGTATTTTAAATATTAAAATATTAACCAGATGGAAAGCTGATAATATGAAGATAAATGTCTCTGGTTCTCTGTGTTGTGCACCCAGGTAAAATAGACTGTAACTATTATCAAAAGTTCCCAAGGTGATAGCACAGGGAGAGCACCCTACAGTTAGGTGTGACTGTAGCAAAAGCCAACAGGCTGGGGGCTGGCATCTGGTTGACCCAACTATAAGCCCAAGGTGGCCCCAGACTGGCACTTAACAGCACAGGGACCAAACCCTGCCCCACAAGGAAAATGCACTGAAGCAGCCAATCAGACTGAAGGCAAAAGCAGCTCAGCCACAATAGTAGGGCACATGCAACACATAGGGGAGACACCTCTGCCCAAAGTGCCTGGTTCTGGTGAACAAGGACCATTGAACTACAGGCCACTACAGGACCTCTTCTTCCTAAGGCCACTACTTTTAAGAGCAGGAGACAAAGCTGATTCTCGTAATACATGGAAACAGATACAGAGAGTTGGACAAAATGAGGAAACAGAGGAATATGTCCCAAATGAAAGGACAGGACAAAATCACAGCAAAAGAGCTAAATGCAATGGAAATAAGCTATATGCCTGATAGAGAACTCAAAGAAATGATCATAAAGAGAGTTACTGGATCTGAGGAGAGTGAAGGATCTCAATGAGACCCTTAACAAAGAGAGAGAAAATGTAAGAACCAATCATAGGATGAAGAACTGAAATTAAAAATACACTAGAGGGAATAAACAGTAGACCAGAGAAAGCAGAAGAATGGATCAGTGAGATGGAGGACAGAGTAATGGAAATCAACCAAGATGAACAGCAAAAAGAATAAAAAAATTAAACTACATTAAGGGAACTCAGTGACATTAAGTGTAGTAACATATGCATTACACAGATCTCAGAAAGAGAAGAGACAGAAAGGGGGCAGAAAATTTGTTTCCAGAAATAAAAGCTGCAAACAATTTGAATCTGGGGAATAAAAGAGAAATCCATATCCAGGAGGCACAGAGACCTCAAAAGAATCAACCTGTGAGGGTTCACATCAAGGGACATGATAATGAAAATGGCAAAAAGTAGTGATAAAAGGAGAATTTAAAAGCACCAAGAAAAAAAAAAGTTATATATAAGGGAAACCCCATAAGGCAATCTGCTGATTTTTCAGCAGACACTGGAGGCCAGAAAGGAGTGGCATGACATATTTAAAGTGCTAAAAGGAAAAAACCTGAAACCAGTTATGCTCTTCCCAGCAAGGCTATCATTAGGAACAGAAGGAGAGAGAGAGTTTTCCAGACAAACAAAAGTAGAAGGCAGTTCATCTCCACTAAACCAGCTTTATAAGAAATGTTAAAGGCAATTCTTCGAATGGGAAAAAAAAAAAAAAAGGACATCATCAGGAGTAAGAGAATTAGGAAAGGAAAAAATTTCACAGGTAAATGCAAATATAATAAAAGTAGTAGATGAATCACTTATAAAACCAGTATGGAAGTTAAAACACCAAAGCATTAAAATCAGTTATACCCATAAAAATAAATCAAGGGATTGACAAAATAAAAGGATAAAATATGACACCATCTAAATAAAATGTGTGTGTTTGGGGGTGGGGAGGTGAGTAAAAAATTTAGTGCATTTAAGATTGGTTCAAACTTAAGCACACCACCTTATGCAGATACCTATACACATAAGATGTTATATATGAACCTACTGGTAACCACAAATCAAAAACCTGTAATGGATATGCAAAAAATAAAGGGAAAGGAATCCAAGTAAATCATTAAAGAAAGCCATCAAACCACAAGGGAGAGAGCAATAGAAAAAAGGAAATTAAGAACTCCAAAAACAACTGTAAAACAAGTAACAAAATGTCAGTAAGTACATACATATCATTAATTACTTTGAATGTAAATACACTAAATGCTACAATCAAAAGATATAGGCTGGGGTGCCTAGGTGGCTCAGGCAGTTGAGCGTCCAATTCTTGGTTTTGGTTCAGGTCATAATCTCAGGGTCCTGGGATTGAGCCCAGTTTCACAATCCACATTCAGCATGGTGTCTGCTTGAGGATTTTCTCTCCCACTCCCTCTGATCCCTCCACTGCTCATTTTCTCTCTTGTAAATAAATAAATAAATAAATCTTTAAAAAAAAAGAAAAAGTAGGCTGATGTAATGTAGGCTGACTGATGTAATGTAGGCTGACTGACTGGTTAAAAAAAGCAAGAACCATCTATATGCTGCCTACAAGAGACTCATTTAAGACCTAAAGACACATGCAGTTTGAAAGTGGAAGGGTGTCTGGGTGGTGCAGTCAGTTAAGCATCCAACTCTTAAAATTAGGTCATGATCTCAAGATCTTGGGGTTGAGCCCCATGTCAGACTCTACACTCAGCGGGGAGCCTCTGCTTGAGGATTCTCTCTCTTCCTCTGCCCCTCCCCCTGCTCACTCACCCTCTCAAATAAATAAATCTTAAAAAAGAAAAAAAGAAAGTGAAGAAATCGAAAATCATTTACCACGCAAATGGAAGTGAAAAGAAAGTTGGGGTAGCAAAACTTATAGCTTAGACAAAACAGAATTTAAAACAAAGACTGTAACAAGCAACAAAGGACACTACATAATGATAAAGAGAACAATGCAACAAGAGGATATAACAAGGCAAATATTTATTTGGAGTTCCTATAGGAACTATTAACAGACACAGAAGGAAAAAAAATATTGTAATGCAGCAATAAGTACAGGACTTTAACACCCCACTTATATCAATGGATAGATCAACCAGACAGAAAATCAACAAAGAAACAGTGGCTTTGAGTAACACATTGGACCAGATGGATCTAAAAGTTATTTCGGAACATTCCACCCCAAAACAGTGGAATACACATTCTTTTCAGTTGCAAAGGGAACATTCTCCAGAATAGATCATATGTTAGGCCACAAAGAAGTCCTAACAAATTCAAAAAGACTGAAATCATATCCTGCAAATTTCCTGACCATAATGGCATGAAATTAGAAAACAGTGGAAAGAACACAAATACATGGGAGATTAAATAACATGATACTAAATATGTTAATGTTTATTAACATGTTCAACATGTTAATTGCTAATTAGAATTAGCAATGTAATAACATTTTCATTTTACATGGAGAAAAATGAAAATACAATGGTCCAAAACCTTTGAATGCAGCCAAAAGCTGTTCTCAGGGAAGATTACAGCACTATAGGCCTACCTCAAGAAGCAAGAAAAATCTCAAACCTAACTATACACCTAAAAGACTACAAAAAGAAGAATAAACAAAGTCCAAAGCCAGTAGAAGGAAGGAAGAGTAAAGATTAAAATAAATTCAAAAGAGACTAAAAGAACAACAGATCAATGAAACTAAGAGCTGATTCTTTGAAAGGTTCAACAAAATTGATAAACCTTTAGCTAGACTCATTAAAGAAAAAGGAAAAAAAAGAGGACACAGGGGCACCTGAGTGGCTCAGTGGGTTAAGCCTCTGCCTTCAGCTCAGGTCATGATCTCAGGGTCCTGGGATCAAGTCCCACATCGGGCTCTCTGCTCTGTAGGGAGCCTGCTTCCTCCTCTCTCTCTCTCTGCTTGCCTCTCTGCCCACTTGTGATCTCTCTCTGTCAAATAAATAAAATCTTAAAAAAAAAAAAAAAAAGACACTAATAATATAAAAAAAAAAAATGAAAGAGGAGAAATAACCACCGATATACCACAGAAATACTAAGGATTTTAAGAGAGTATTAGGAAAAATTATGTGCCAATAAATGCGCCAACCTAGAAGAAATAGATAAATTCCTAGAAATATAGATTATCTCCCAAAACTGAATCAGGAAGAAATAAAAAACTTAAACAGACTGCTTAGTAGCAATGAAATTGAATAAGTAACTGAAAAACTCCAATCAACAAAAACCCAGGACCAATGGCTTCACAAGTTAATTCTACCAAACATTTAAAGAAGAGTTAATACCTATTTTTTTCAAACTATTCCAAAAACTAAAAGAGGAAGGAAAGCCTCTAAATTCCTTCTATGAGGCCAGTGTTATTACTGATATCAAAACTAGACAGACTACAAAAAAACAAAACCAAACCACAAGCCAGAATCTCTGATGAACACAGATGCAAAAATCTTCAACAGTAGCAAACCAAATTCAACAACACATTTAAAAAAAACTGAATTCACCATGATCAAGTGGTTTATGTCCAGCATACAAAAATACAAATAATATTTGCAAATCAATCAACATGACATATCACATTAACAACAACAAAAAAAGGTAACAAACATATGACCATTTCAATAGATGGAGAAAAAGCATTTAGCAAGTACAATATCCATTTATGATAAAAACCCTCAGCAAGGTAGGTTTAGAGGAACACACCTCAACATAATTAAGACCATACTTAAAAAACCCACAGCTAACATCATCTTTAACTGGGAAAAACTGAGAGCTTTTCCTCTAAGATCAGGAACAAGACAAGGATATCCACTTGAACCACTTTCATTTAAAATAGTACTGTAAGTACTAGCCATAACAATCAAACAAGAAAACAGAAATAAAGGGAATTCAAATGGTAAGGAAGAAGTAAACTTTCACTATCTGCAGATAATATGATACTCTATAGAGAAAACCCAAAAGAGTTCATTAAAAAATCCCAAAACTAGTAACTGGATTCAGTAAAGTCTCAGGATACAAAAATGAATATACAGATATCTGTTTGTATTTCTATACACTAATAATGAAGTAGGAGAAAGAAAAATTAAGAAAACAATTCTACTTATAATTGCACCAAAAAGAATAAAATATCTAGGAATAAGCTTAACCAAGGAGATGACAGACCTATATTCTGAAAACTATAAAACACTGATGAAACAAAATGAAGATGACACAAATAGAAAGATATTCTGTGCTCATGGATTGGAAGAACCAATACTGTTAAAATGTCCATACTACCCAAAGCAATCTAGAGGTTTAATGCAATTCCAATCAAAATACCAATAGCATTTTCCACAGAACTAGAACAAATAACCGTAAAATTTATATGGAAACATAAAAGACTCTAAATAGCAATCTTGAAAAAGGAGAACAAAACTCAACGTATCACAATCCCAGATTTCAAGGTATAAAATCTATACCTATAGACCTATAATAATCAAAATAGTATGATACTGACACAAAAACAGAAGACAGCTTAACAGAACAGCACAGAGTGTAGAAGAGGCCACGCTTTTATTGTCAATTAATCTATGAAAAAGGAGGAGTGCCTAGGCAACTCAGTTAAGCATCTGACTCTTGATTTCAGCTCAGGTCATGACCTTAGGTTGTGAAATCGAGCCTGCTCAAGATTCTCTCTCCCTCTTCCTCTGCCCTGTCCCCCTCAAAAGAAAAAAAAAATGTGACAAAGGAGGCAAGAATACGCAATGGGAAAGACAGTTTCTTCAACAAATGGTGTAAGGAAACTGGACAGCTTCACGCAAAAGAATGAAACTGGACCACTTTCCTAAACCATACACAAAAATAAACTAAAAATGGATTAAAGACCTAAATGTGAGACTTGAAACTATAAAAATGCCAGAAGAGGACACAGGCAGTAATTTCTTTGACATCAGCCAAAAAAACATTTTTCTAAGTAAGTCTCCTTTGGCAAAGAAAACAAAAACAAAATTAAATTATTGGGTCTACACCAAAAGAAAATACTTCTGCACAGCAAATAAAATCATCAATGAAACAAAAAGACAACCTACTGAATTGGAGAAGATATTTGCAAATAACATATCCAATAGGGGGTTAAGACACAAAATATACAAAGAACTTACACAACTCAACACAAAACAATAAATAATCCAGTTAAGAAATGGACAAAAGATATGAACAGACATTTTTCCAAAGAAGACAACCAGATAGCCAACAGACACATGAAACATTGCTCAACATCATTCATCATCAGGGAAGTGCAAATGAAAAATCAAAACCACAATGAGCTATCACCTCAGACCTCTCAGAATGGCTAAAATAAAAAACACAAGAAATAACGAGTGTTGACAAGGATGCGGAGAAAAAGGAACCCTCATGTGGGAATGCAAAGTGGTACAGCCACAGTGGAAAACAGTATGGAGGTTCCTCAAAAAACTAAAAATAGAGGGGTGCCTAGGTGGCTCAGTCAGTTAAGCATCTGACTTTGGCTCAGGTCTTGATCCCAGGTCCTGGGATTGAGTGTGGAGCCTAATGTGGGGCTCAAATTTGTGACCCTGAGATCAAGATCAACCGACAGCCACCCAGGTCCCCTATATGTAGATTTTTAAAAATCAATATAATATAGTACTGTAAATGTATTTTCTCATTCTTATGATTCTCTTAATAACATTTTCTTTCCTCTATCTTACCTTATTGTAAGAGTATGGTATATAATACAGACGACATATAAAATATATGCTAATTATGTTTGGGGCACCTGGGTGGCTCAGAGGGTTAAGCCTCTGCCTTCAGTGCAGGTCATGATCTCAGAGTCCTGGGACTGAGCCCTGCATCAGGCTCTTTGCTCAGTGGGGAGCCTGCTTTTCTCTCTCTCTCTGCCTGCTTCTCTGCCTACTTGTGATCTGTCAAATAAATATATAAAATCTTAAAAAAAAATACACTAATTGACTGTTCATGTTATTGGTAAGGCTTCTGGTCAACAGTGGACTGTTAGTAGTTACCTTTTGGGGGAGTCAAATGTTATATGTGGATTTTTGACTGCACAGAGGCCAGTGCCCCAGCCCCAGTGTTGTACAAGGGTCAAATGTATATACATACACACAAACATGTAAACACACACACACGCATAAGTATATATATATAGAGAGAAGGAGAGACACAGAGATGCTAACTTATACAACCTGACACACATCATGTTTATTTCACAATATCTCTGCCAAATACCTGTAGAGCAGTATTTCCCCACTCCAGGAATGGGGCTGAATAAAAGATCTCAAAGGTCCTATTCAGCTTTACCCTCCTAATTCACTTAAAATAGAAGTCCTTTTAAAGTACACTATATTGAAGGGATGAGGATCTAATTTCAAGATTTCATTTCTTATTAGTTGCTAAATATTTCAGGTCTTCATTTATTGAAGGATATTAAAGTTGCAAAACTAACACACTTCACTTTCAGAACCTTGGGTTTTATCAACTTGAACTATGTTTTCAAGTAAAACCCCAAACAGAGAGATCATTTCTGCTTGTTGACACTGTTCAAGAGACTAAACATTTAATTCTCTCTTATAACAACAAAATGATTCTTACGTCAAGTACTGATCCAGAGAGATCAGCTCGTTCAAGATTTGCACAGCAGAGATTAGCGTGTGCAAGATTGCAGCGGCTTAAATTGGCCATTTTGAAGTTAATGTATCGAAGGTCCAAACGAGAAAGATCAGCACCACTGAAGTTTAAACCCTAAAATTAAGAAAAGACAAACTGTCACAAAATTTAAACCATCTGTTATATTACATTGTATGACTGTAGCTAACCCCCAAATTTCTTAGAAGCAACTGGCAGGTTAGTCATTTGGAGTTTATTAGAAGACATGATCAGATAAAACTTAGACATAAAACCAGCATCCTTAATGGGTTCTTAGTAAAAGAAACTTTAAATATAACATTAAAATCCAGTCTGGCTATACTTTATGTGCAAAAATTTCTTTCTTTTTTTTTTTTTAAGATTTTATTCATTTATTTGACAGAGAGAGACCATAAATAGGCAGAGAGAAGGCAGAGAGAGAGAGACGGAGAAGCAGGCTCCCCACTTTGCAGAGAGTCCAACATGGGGCTCAATCCCAGGACCCCGAGATCACGACCCAGGCCAAAGGCAGAGGCTTAACCCACTGAGCCACCTAGGCACCCCATGTGCAAAAATTTCTAAAGAACCACCTCTGTTGGCCATGTACATATTAATAGGTATTGTTTATAAATTTTTATCTATTTTGTAAGTATTCAATAATTCAAGGTAGTTTTATTCTTAAAAAGTAAGTATTGAGATTTATAAAATCTTTAATACATAAAAGTATCTACCACTGACTGGCCATATATAACAAATGTACTAAGAATGGACTTTTTATTTTAATTGCTGCAATTTTGATGAACTATTCAAATTGCCACATGGAGCATATTAGATAATAAAAAAGGCCATTACATCTCTTTTTTAGCCAACCATTTTGGAAACAGTATCTTGCCTGAAAAAGGAACATAAGGCAAAAAAAAAAAAAAAAATCCAAGAAAAATGTTAAACTTCACTCACAGCTTTGCTGACACAAATAATTCACATAAAAGTCTGCTTTAATTACCTGGCAACGCAATTCTGATTTGGTTGGAGTGGCTAGCAGAAATCGGACGAATTCCTTTCGAGATATTGGTGAATGATCCTCTGGTGGTTGAGAATTCTTGAAAAAGATATTAAGAAATCAGTGGCGCATTTTGGGAGACAGCTACAATAACTATGAAACTGGCTAATGTAAAAAGAGCCTTACCTTTATTGCCACTTCCAGGTGTTCAATCAATGAGTCAATACCAAAAAATCTAGCTTCTTCTAACACACCTATCATAATAAAAATGATGTGACTTTTACAGAAAACTATTCATTTTAATATTTATAAAAAATTCTTTGTTAAATCCTCACAATACAAGTGAAATTCAACAAGCAGGCAATCAATATAGAAGAAAAATAACTCAAGTGTAGAACATGTATACACAATAGTTTTAAATATTTGTAATACAAAGTTTTTCTACATAGTTTACATTCAGCAAAAGAAAAACAGGAAACTAATGAATCAGAATGAAAACCTTCTATATTTCTAAATTTTCTGGTAATAGGTAGGCCTCAGGCAAAAACTCCTAATTTTATGAGTCTACTAAATGATTAATTCACCTCATCTTAACATTTCACTGACTTCTTCAGTGGAGCAGATATGAATGCGTTTGTGACAACTCTCTTTTACTTACTGAATCAGGAAATTACAGAAATGAATAAAAGTAAATTAGTTTCAAAATAAAAGTCAACAGAATGACTCAGAACCCTCTCTGAAGGAGAATCAATTAAAAAAACTTTCTAAATGATAAAAGGGATTTTTATGTATCATTTGCTTGTCTTAACTTGGTTAAAAAAAATCTGTACTCTAGGTGACTTAGTATATATACTGTATGTTCTTACATCTATTAAACATCTTCATCAGGATATTTGGGAAGAAATTTGGAATCCACTTTCCTTCAAATGAAGACCTCAGTCATTTAGCTGAGTTTTTTAACTTGTTAAAAAAAATTCCTAAGGATTAGAAATTACAAAGAAAGTTAAATGACATAATCTCTTCCTTTGAATAGTTCCAAGCCAATAAGTGTAACTATAGGTAGATATAGGAAGCTCAGCAGTTATCTGGGAAGATTATGATCTTCTCAGGGAAAGCCCATTTCCACTTCTAATATTCCAATTGCAAAACAAAGGTCATCTGATAAACAGCACACTACTTAGGCAGCTGTTCTGGCACAACAATTTCCAGTCCACGCCAGAGTGGCCTCATCTTTGGATTCCTCATGAAGGGGCAGCCATATTTCCTATTTATCCCTGGTAGACACCCACCATAAAAAGGGGTTTCTAATGAGTTTCACTCTCAGTGTGCCTCAATCTTCTGATTGAGATTCCCCCCAAGGAATAGAGTAGGGATTTTCCCCCCCTACTTTTAGGTTTAGAATCAAAACTTTAAAAATTCCAGAAAAGCCTTCTAAACACAAAAGGCACCTATGGGGCATAGCTGAGAAAAGTAAGTAATATTTAGCAAATTTTCTGTCAGCACCACTAGGAATCCGATTTGAATCCCAGTTCTGCCCCTTACTTCCTTTTTTCCCTTAGAGAAGCTATGTATTCTTTCTCTTAATTAAAGTTCCTGTTTACATTGTGAAATGGGAGTATTATCACTTTTTCCACAAAGCTGATATAAGTATTAAGAGAGATATGCAATAGAATAGGAGGAGCAACTTGGCAGAAGAGTAGGACACATAAATATACACATAAATACCAGGTCCCAGGAGTTAAGCTTAGATAGTCATTGAACGATTCTGAACACCTACAAACTCAATAGGAAATAGAAGAGAGGAAGAGCAGCAATTCTAGGAACAGAAAATCAACCACTTTCTGGAAGGTAGGACATGCAGAGAAGTGATTCCAAGGCAACCGACGGGAAGAATGTGGGGCGTGGAGCCAGCTCACAGCAAGAGGTAGAGCAGCAGAGCACAAAATTGGAACTTTTAGTAGTCTCGTCCACTGAGGGACATTGCTCCAGAGGCTTAGTGGGAGTGGAGCCCTCACAGGGACAGTATGGTCTCAGGACCGTTGGGGTCACAAAAAGACCAGGGTACCTGACTGTGAGAGAGCCCCAGGTATCGGAGCAGGGAAGCAGGCTGCAGAAAGAGCCAAGCTGTGGGCTCAAGCTTGGGGTTACCTTAAACCATATTCTCCAGCACAGTCGGGCCACTGCTTTCTGAGCAGGGACCCTACAAGTGGCAGATCCAGGGAGAACCCCCTCCTTCCTCCTCTGGGAGGAGCAGCACGGAAGTACACTGCAGAAATCTGCTAGGTTTCTAGACTCCAAACAGGACCATGTACCAGAGACAGAAACGCTCAGTCACAGGCCAGGTGAGCACAGAATGCAGTTGGAGACCAGGGAAATGGGAGGGATTGACTGCACTGAGGGGTGGGGCCCCGAACTCTCGGCTCCTGCGGTGCCAGAGATTGGGAGGCCACCATCCTCATTACCGTCCGCCAAAGCTATCCAGAAAGTGTTCAGGGAATAAAAGCTCCAGAGACCAAAACCAAGCAGGTTACTTAGCCTGGACCCTGACAAGGGCAGTGCAATTCCACCTCGGGCAAAGACATTTGAGAATCACTGCAATAGGCCCCTCCCTCAGAAGATCAGCAAGAACATCCAGCCAGGGCCAAGTTCACTTATCAATGAGAACTGCGGAGCTCCAGAGCTAGGGGAAAGCAACACATAGAATACATGGCTTTTTTCCCCATGATCCTTTACTCTTCCAAAGTTGAATTTTTTTTTTAACTTTTCCTCTTCCCTGTTTTAATTTTTTTAACTATTTTACCTTAACAATACCCTTTTAAAAATCTTTTAAAATTTTCATTGTTATGATTATTTTATCCCTTCATTGTAGTTAAACTTATTTTTTGTATACAGACAGGTTTTTTCTTTAAAATTTTGGGATACAATTTCTTCTAATAGAAATTGGAATTCAATTTCTTCTAATAGATGAAAATATACCCTAAATCTACTGCATGGCTTTGTTATAGTCTCCAGCCTGATAACATTCTTTCCTTTTTTTTTCAACCAACTTCTTATCAATGCTTTTTTAGAATCATTTTAAATTTTCATCTTTATAGTAATATTCCATCCCTTCGACGCGTTTACCTTTATTTTTAAGTATATGTAATTTTAATCCTTATAGTAATATTCCATCCCTTCGATGTGTTTACCTTTATTTTTAAATATATGTAAGTTTTTCTTTCTTTAAAGTTTTGGGAGGTAGTTTCTTTTAACAGACCAAAATATACCCAAAATCAAGTGTAAGGCTCTATTCTATTCACCAGTCTAATATATATATATATAAATAATATTTTATATATATATATGCACACACATATGTGTATGTGTGTATACATATGTATATATATATGTAAAATAAAAATAAAAATGAAAAAAATATATATATTTTTTTTCCCTCCTTTCTTCTCCCCCTGATTTGGTTAGCATATATTTTTCTAGGGTCACTGTTAACCTCTTAGTATTTTGTTCTCTCATTCATCTACTCTTATCTGGATAAAATGACAAGGCTGAAAAACTCACCACAAAAAAAAAAAATAAGAGGCAGTACCGAAGGCTAGGGACCTAATCAATATGGAAATTAATAATATGTTAACAGCTGGGGTGCCAGGGTGGCTCAGTGGGTTAAAGCGTTTGCCTTCAGCTCAGGTCATGATCCCAGGGTCCTGGGATCAAGCCCCGCATCGGGCTCTCTGCTCAGCGGGGAGCCTGCTTCCCCCCTCTCTCTCTGCCTACTTGTGATCTCTGTCAAATAAATAAATAAATCTTAAAAAAAAATAGTATGTTAGAACTAGAGTTCAGAATGACTATTATCAAGGTGCTAGCTGGGATTGAAAAAAGCATGGAGGATACTAGAGAATCCCTTCCCAGAGAAATAAAATCCCTTTCTGGAGAAATAAAAGAACTAAAATCTAACCAAGTTGAAATTAAAAAAGCTATTAATGAGGTGAAATAAAAAATGGAGGTTCTTACTGCTAGGATAAATGAGACAGAAGAGAGAATTAGTGATATAGAAGACCAAATGATGGAGAATAAAGAAGCTGAGAAAAAGAGTGATAAACAACTATTGGACCACAAGGGGAAAATCTGAGAGATAAGTGATACCATAAGACGAAACAATATTAGAATAACTGGGATCCCAGAAGAAGCAGAAAGAGAGAGAGAGGCAGAAGGTATATTGGAGCAAATTCTAGCAGAGAATTTCCCTAATTTGTCGAAGGGAACAAACATCAAAATCCAGGAGGCAGGGGGACCTGGGTGGCTCAGTGGGTTAAAGCCTCTGCCTTCGGGCCAGGTCATGATCCCAGGGTCCTGGGATCGAGCCCCACATCGGGCTCTCTGCTCAGCAGGGAGCCTGCTTCCCTTCCTCTCTCTCTGCCTGCCTCTTTGCCTACTTGTGATCTTTGTCTGTCAAATAAATAAATAAAATCTTAAAAAAAAAAAAAAAATCCAGGAGGCACAGAGAACCACCCTCAAAAATCAATAAAAATAGGTCAACACTCTGTCATCTAATAGTAAAACTTACAAGTCTCAGTGACAAAGAGAAAACCCTAAAAGCAGCTCAGGACAAGAGGTCTGTAAGATATAATGGTAGATATATTAGATTGGCAGCAGACCTCTCCACAGAGACCTGGCAGGCTAGAAAGGACTGGCATGATATGTTCAGAGCACTAAATGAGAAAAATATGCAGCAGAGAATACTATATCCAGCTAGACTGTCCTTGAAAATAGAAGGAGAGGGGTGCCTGGGTGGCTAAGTCATAAGCATCTGCATTCGGCTCAGGTCATGATCACAGGGTCCTGGGTTCGAGTCCTGCATTGGGCTCCCTGCTCAGGAGGCTTGCTTCTCCCTCTTCCACTCCCCCTGCTTGTGTTCCCTCTCTTGCTGTGTCTCTGTCAAATGAATAAATAAAAATCTTTATTTTAAAAACACAGAAAATAGAAGGAAAGATAAAAAGCTTTGAGGACAAGCAAAAATTAAAAGAATTTGCAAACATCAAAACCAGCCCTAGAGGAAATATTGAAAGGGGTCCTCTAAGCAAAGAGAGAGCTCAAAAGTAAGACAGACCTGGGGCACCTAGGTGGCTAGTGGCTCAGTGGGTTAAAGCCTCTGCCTCTGGCTCAGGTCATGATCCCAGAGTCCTAGAATCGAGCCCCATATTGGGATCTCTGCTCAGCTGGGAGCCTGCTTCCTCCTCTCTCTGCCTGCCTCTCTGCC